TGTTTGGGAACTAAAAGCCTAGAAGGACGATGGCGGACAGTGATGGTGGCAGCTGAAGAGTTCAGGGGAACCTCCTTCCACCTCTTTCCACTTTAGCAGAGCGAACGCTGGAGAGAAGCTCCTCTCTATAGCGTTCGCTCTGCTAAAGTAGAAAGGGGTGGGAGGAGCTTCCCCCGAACTCTTAGCCTGTAACCGACTATAACAAAAGAAAACAAAAAGTAATCGTGAGCCATTCCACTTTGTGGAGGGGGATGACTAGCGAAGCTCTTTAGCACACGACACAGACCCGCGCCGAGGAGCCAGAGGAAACTAGACACGCGCGGTGGGACCGACACCCCGGGAGAGCGGAAGGAAACTAGGCACGCAAGCGGGCTTGGAACGACGGCGAAGAGAGCAGTGTTGGATAAAGTACATTTAAAAGGTACTTCAAGTAAAGTACAAAGTAAATTAGACGTGATGTACTTCAACTAAAGTAGTAAGTACAGTGGGTGCAATGTACTTGATGTAAAGTACTATAAATACAATGTACTTTCAAAGTAAATTGCAACTATTTTAACACAATCGTTCATGATGCCCTTTAATCCCCCTATACAGTGATTTTCTAACTGGTATGCAGTGCCCAGGAGTAATCAGGGCTGCATGACCTATCTTCAAAAACAGCGGCGAATATTTGACCAAGTGGCCACAGAGTAGTTATTTTCATGAATTGAGCTAAATTCCTGAAAATAACTGTATAGCGATTTTCTCGCACTGGATTTTTGCAACCAAGGGGGTTAAATGTACTAGGAGACAGCATGACGTCAGCCCTGTAGCTTCCGCAAGCAATCCTCTCGTAGAGGAGTGTCCTCTCCTTAATAAAAAAAAAAAAAAAAAAAAAAAACAGTGTGTGTGCATGCGAGCTTGTGATAATTAATCATAATGTGACACCTTAGATTGGGGTGTGAAAAAAAAATTAAGGAACTTTCAAGTCGAAGAAAAAGACAAAAGGGAGTGTCTCAAAACATCGTGACGTTCTCTTCTGTTGTCTTTTTCTTCGCCTCGAAAGTTAAATTTTTCCGTACCACAGTTTCAGGTGCTACATTATGGTTAATTTTGCTCGCTTAATATTTTAAACCTCCTCCCTTGTGCTGATCGACTAAAAAGTAGCGAGAGTTCAAAAAGCTACGGGGAAGCCGCCCCCAGAACAAACGGAGCGATGCGTCGTCTGCTCACGTTTCCGGTGAGAGTAGAATATCCCTCCCAGTATTTCTTTGGAATTGACAAAGCATCATTTCGTGATAAAAATTTAACAAAACCCAATTTGGGGAACGCACTTTGAAGTCGGGAATTGTACTTTCCCCGGAAAGTACCAGAGAAAAATACTTTAAGTACAAGTACATACGCAAAGAATGTACTTCAAGTAAGGTACAAGTTTCCTAAACCTACTTAAAGTAGTACTTGAAATAGTACTTCAAGTACAATGTACTTCAAGTACTTCCCAACACTGAAAGAGAGGGCGGTGCGAGCGTAAATATGGCCGGCGCAGGTCGCACAGCGGCACATCTTTGAGAAACCTTTATTACCTGAGAGTCTACTGATCTTGATAATGGTGCCTATTGATAACTAATCTACCGAATAGACTTATTGCTAGATTACCCAAGCATCAAGGGGGGGGGGGGGGGGGGGGTTGTGTGTATGTTAAAGAACTTGGTCTGCCACGGGCGACGAGTCTCCCAGCTGTAGATGAGAAATTTAGCCAGTGCAGTACAACCGCTAGCCTGGGGTCTTTAACGTGCACCACACAGGTGATACACGACCGCACGCCGGTACGATGCTCATCCAGATCGAAACGGGCAGGGGTGGGAATCAAGCATCAAGGAGACTGCAGAGAATGGTGTTCTACGCGCCGCACGTGCCCACGTCTGCAGCAATAACTGTTCTAAAGCCAAAGCTTAAAACTATAGCCTCCTCTATACTCACAAAGTCTGGCAGTTCAACGACGGAGTGCCCGGTCGCAAATTTGAAGCGCGAGGATCTGGTAGCACAGAGCATTTCTCGGAGAACCTGGACGTCAGCGCACAGCTTTTGCAGCAGCGAGGACCCGAAACAGGGTTTTCAAACCCCACGAGAAAAGAAGCGGTAGCGCGAGGAAGACAAGGACACGAACGGACAGCGTATTTCAGCGTCTCGCCGCAGCAGGCGCCCGTCACATGGCTCTCCTCTTATCCGTTGTCTGCCGCTCTACCTTTTCAATTTCGGCGGCCGCTTCTCGTGGCGATCTGCCAGGCTTTGTCAGTGTAGCAGAGGCTATGCTAAAGCAAATGGCCTCTTGCACGCGCGTTCGTCAACACTTTAGTTTTGGTTATTTACTTCGAATCTTTTACACGGGAAAGGCGCGCGCGTGCGGCGTGAAACGGGTCCATATCACAAGAGCGAATGACATTTTAGCGAACGGCGACATTTGAGCGAATGGTCGTTTTAGCGAATAACGGGGGCGCGCGTTAACCCATCCGTCGCGCTGCGCTGTACGCCGCTTGGCGGCGACAGTCTTCGGCAACTCATTACAAAAATGTGAACCCATTTGGCCCACCCGAAAACGCCGCTTCGCGGCGTCGGACTATTCGCTAAAGTGTCGTTCGATGAAACGTGGGCGTTCGCTAAAACGTCATTCGATCAAGTGAGTGCCTCCCGCCGTGGTTATTAGATTAGCTCAGTTACGGAACTGCTCATAGACGCTGCATCACTCACCACACTCGCCTCCCGTCGCTCGACGCGCCGGACGGCTGCTATGGTGCAGTGTATTCTATGGTATGCGTACGTTTCGAAGCGCAGCGTTTCGCTTTTATGTTGTACCGCAGCGCAGGCTAGAAGCGCGAGCTCATAGCAAGATGGGCCCCAGAGCAAGGAGCTCGCGCTTGTAGCCTTTCCTGTGGTACATCATAAAGTGAAATATGTGGAAAAAACACTTCGTAAACGAAAATCTAGATGGCGCTTCGAACGACGAGAGGACAGAGCGGGAGAAGAACTGAAGTGAATGAGAGGGGGTACCCCCTTCCCCGGGTGGCCACTGCACACGAAAAATCCACGGAACCCTAGCCATAAACAGCTTCGCTGTAAAAACGTTAGGAGCGTTGATAGCGTTACGAACCATTTTTTTATGCGATTCACGGGAGAAACTATTCCTTCATGGGCAGTCTCAAATTGATGAGATAACCAGATATGGTTGTTGAGTTAGTTAAGAAATGTAATATATATGTTTACATACCGGAGTTGAGACGGGGCCGTCATCGCCAGAAGTGTTACCAGTCGAACTTGCGCGCCGTACGGCTGTGGTGTCTAGTGCGGCTGTCATCTGACATTTTTGGATGGATGTAAAATCGTTTGAATCGGGCGGCTGCTTGCATCACCTAGCCAGTGTTTGAAATTGAATTCCCGTCAATCGCAATAATTATTTTTATGTATCTGATCTGCGAAACAAAGAATCCGCTTGTCAGGTTCTAACACTGATCTCTATGACAATTGCTGGACCTCACTTCCCCGCTTCACCGCTTGTTCGCTGCAGCGAGAGTGAAGCCACTGGACGGCCGTCTTGCTCATAGACGATTTGCGGCTTTGCTAGTGTTGCACAGGCTGGCAGCAGCGTACTGTAGACACATTTTCTACTTGTTCGTCGTCATTCGCCGAAAAAGTTTTCAAGACCCTTTGAAACTGTTGAGACTTGCCGTTGCGAACACGCGAAAAATTTTACGAAAGCGCAGTGCCGCAGGAAAAAGGCACAACTCGTCGAAAACAAGTTTCGCCGGTCTCGCGGCGGGATCAAAGCTTCCTTGACACGCCGAAGTGCAGCGTCTCTGTGCCTTCGCACGTTTCGATACCGATCAAGGATCGACGCCGTGTGGATGTGTTTTGCGAGTGCAATGTGCGTGAAGCCGTATGTTCCTCCGGGCAGCATTTTACTTCTACTCTGACCACTGTATTTGTAACTTGCGGTACTCGCGGTCTAGAAACGAGCTTGATCCAGAGTCCAGTGGCGACGGAAGAGGGGTGGGGGGAAGGGAGGGGAAGGAAACGGCATCAGCAACGCGTATTTCTTTTTTTTTTTTTTTTTTTTTTTTACAAGACGCTTATGGCATTTAAATTAGTAGTAGAGAATTTTAATTTTTGTTGTGGCTTTTTCCTGCGGCACTGCGCTTTCGTAAAACTTTCCACATATTCTCAACGGAAAGTTTCAGCTTTTACATATGGTCTCAAAACTTTTCTTCGACGAATGATGACGAACGAGTAGAAAACGTGTCTTCAGCATGCTGCCGCCAGCCTCTGCGACACTAGCGAAATTGTAAATCATTTACGAGTAGGGGTGTCGCGAACTTTTGTCGAACCAGATTTTTTGGTCGAACTTTGGGGGTTCGACTGGGTCGAACCGGTTCGACGAACCTTCGACCTTTTCACCAGATTCGAACGGTTCGACTTTGTGGACAGTGTGGCCAGACCTTGAAACAAGTATGTCTAGGTTTGGAGATTTTGTTTTTTTATGCAAAGGGTTATTTTATTTTGTGAACAGCTGCAATTAAAAGAAACTAATTCTATTCACTGAAGAAGTTAATAACTTAAGTTTTAGTGCTGTATTGACTGAAATAGCGGATCAGCGCTGCACTTAATTCATCTCTTAGCCATTACCATCCAATCCGAAGCCAACTGGCCAACCTGTCGCGCATGCGCACACGAGTCGAACCTCAATACAAAGTTCGACGAACTTTACACTAAACGTTCGAAAAAGTCGAACCTGGTCGAACTCGAACCGCGGCCGGTTCGCGACACCCCTATTTACGAGCATGATGGCTGTCTGGTGGCTTCACTCGCGGGAGCGGGAGCGCGCTCCAGTGTCATTTTTATTTCTTATGATAAACTGAACTAAAATAATTAATTCCACCATTTTGAATTACCTTTCTACGTAATATGAGTTATTTTGCACATTTATTAAGTTTTCCAGCTCTTCCTTTTGCAGTTTGACAGCTATCATCATCATCGTCGCAAGTTGCGGAATCGACCAGAGCCGATTCCGGCCGATTCCAAATCCGGTAGCCATGCTTGTTTTGGTCGGTGCCGGTGAGCAACGTTTTGCGCGAGTTTGCTGCGGGTGCAGAGATCCTACCACTGTGGATCCTACTTACATATGACGGGTCGTTTGATCTGATTGACGAAGGCTGTCTTCAGTGTGCAGGCATGTCGTTGTTTCGGAAGCCAAACCGCAAGTTCCGACAGCGATTGCAGCACAGCGACAGCGAGGATGAAGACGAGAGAGAAGAGATTGCAGTGGTCAGCTTCGTCGAAAAGTCTCCGCCGCGGCCGGAGCCCGTGTCCGCGAACATTTCCGAGGCGGTTGACGTCGACAAAGCAGAATCCAAAGCCCCTGCCTCACTCCTGAGCTTCGGAGATGACGAGGATGGTGAGTCGTTGCAGATCTAAGCACAAGCCGTGGTGTAGCAACAACGAACTTCTTGCGTCCGCCAGTGCCCTCAAGTTTTAACAACTTCCTTTCTACAGAGTCGCTTTTCTTACTCATCGGTTAGACCTAGAGTCACTGTGCTTTATCCAGCGCAAAATCTGTGACTCGAAATGTGACTGTAAGCTGATATGACCACAAATGTAAAACTACAATACTACGCTAATTAGCAGCTGCATACTGTCGCCGCGAAGCGGCGTGAACGCAGGCGGGGGGCTGTGTTTACGAGCTCCCCAGTGATACACGCGCAGTTCGAAAAAGGGTGGCCCGAGCGGCATGAGCTCTCCGCGTAGTGCATATAGCAATTTCCGTCCAAAGTGCACTACGTAGTGCATATAGCATCGCTCTTATTTTTATTTTTCCGAAGGCTATTTTTTGGCTGTGTCTACAGTGCCGTCCGACGGCCCTCCAATCGCGCCCACAAGTGCCGTCCGAAAGAGAGTCGGACGGCGCGTGTATCACTGGGCAACTTCTCAACACACTCCCCCGCCTGCGTTCACGCCGCTTCGCGCCGACAGTATGTGGCTGCTAATACAAAACTATTGAACCATTTGGCCCCGTTGTACACGCCGCTTCGCGGCGTCCAGTCGTCAAACCAAGCCCCGCTGTACCCGATACACTTCCGGAAACGAAGTCGCATACCATTTCGTTCAGCGAAATTTAGGCGACAACAATCATTCTTTTCCTGTAATAATCGTAAAAAAATAAATGTAAATATCGCCAAATGCGTCAGCAAAATAAAATGTTCGAGAAAACAAAAACAAAAAAGTAAGCCCACACTGGGGATCGCAACCGGGGTCACTTGCTTATGAGTCAGACATCTTACCACTCAGCCACACTCCGCTTCCAAAAACCCGTTTTGAGAACTCGTTTTATACGAGACTTTCAGATGGCACTTGAACGCCTGAGTGAGTACCGTCGGACGGCACTTGAACGCTCTACAAGAGTGCCGTCGGACGGTACTCTAGACACTACATTATTTTTTTTGTACAGCAATAGGTAGCAAACGTTTTGCCAAATATGGAGCGTACAGTTGTTAACACAGTGCTTACAGTGCTGTTCCCCCTGTACATCAGGAGCGTACACAGAGTGGCACTCTGATATGTGTGTTGCATATTGCCTGCACAGAACTAAAACAAGTTCCAATGACACTACAGCAATGATTTAGTGTCAGCAAAAAAAAGAAAAAGAGATTGTACCGATAATGCGAAACATTGATTAACGTGCAAAGTTTCCTTCTTGTTTATAACATGAGTGCAATGTGTGGTGCCTGTCTAGGCTAGCAACAATACATATTTTTAGTGGCGATTCAGTATCCCAGAAATCAGGTGAGCCATGAAACGAGTTTGGCATTCGTTTACAAGTTTCCTTTCTGAATCTTTTCAGAGACGGAGGTGTTCAAGGTGAAGAAGTCGAGCTACAGCCGGCGTCTGGCCAAGCAGCTGGAGCGGGACCGCAAGAAGAAGCTCAAGGAGGCCGTCAAGGCGGAGACGAAGCCCGAGAAGGAGGCCACCCCTCCCCCCGCTGCAGTCCCCGTCGAAAAGGCGGTCGAGAGCAAGAGCCCACGGCCCTTCAGCGACGAGTTGGAGATCAAGATCAAGGTGTGCTCTCACGTCCCTTCATACCCTTACCGAAGCCTGCAACCCAACACATAGCATCGACTGCCATTCCGGTGGCCTTGCCCCTGAGCATGAATCTTTGGCAGCATACATTTCGCACCACCGAATTTGTTTTTCTTGGCTAGATTACGTGGGAACTGCCACTAGCATGGTGCGATGACATCACTCGTAAGCCAACCTCCCAACTGTGATGCTTACAGTGCATGTTTTAACATACGTAGCTCTGCTTAAAACTTTTATAAAGCTTCAGGGACTGTCCTTTTGAACTTGACGTCATTTTGCTCTGTTGTTCGGGTCACACCTTATCTCGTGTAAGTTGTCGACGCGAGTTTGTAGTCTTAGCTGATATTTTGTCAGCTAAGGCTACAAACTCTTTGCAACAGGCTGCTAGTTGCAAATAATTATGTTTGAAAAGGAGCAGAAACAAAGTGTTGCCCTAATCCAAATCAAGATGAAACCTTTGTCAAGTGCAAATTATAATGGGAATTAAAAAGGTGCTCAATGTAGCTTGATTTTTTAAAACTTTTACTTGTTTATTCTTGGCACTGTCGACCATTTTCACTCATCCTTGGCATCGGGCACATTCTAAGATGGCCCTGAGAAGGTGTTGCAGATCGTGTAGGCATGTGCTTCTAAACTTGACAGCGCTGCCGCACCATTTGGCCTACCGAACTACGCTTAGAAGATGTGCACATGGTGCTCCACTTAACTTGCAGCGAATGCTTTTTCACATAAAGTATCAAACATTTCATGGATTATAGCAGACATGCCAATCGAGAAATGGCAATATTTTGCAAAAAATGTGATTTCGGGTTTTAGGGTGTTTCATTATCTTTGAATCCTCATATTTTATGCATAAAAATAATAAGTTACAGTTATGAGAGCAAGATTAGTCAAATATGCATTTGGAGACTGCCCGGCAACCCAAAACAGCATAAGTTTGAGCCATTTTTCTGCTCATGGTTCTTCAATTGGTGACTTTGCACCATCACATTTACATTGTAGCCGTCTCCTGTCCATCACAGTTTTCTTCAGCTTGAATTTTTCACAACAAATCATTAACCAAATATTCTTGTTCCCGCCGCGAAAGTGTACCGATACACATCTATGTTAGCGTTTGATTGCGTTTTTCTCTTTATACAATTGTGGGACATCTTCACAGTTTGTACACAAGAATTTTTGTTCTTAATATTCTCCTATCACAACAAATTTTGGCATGCATATACTTTAGTATATGTAGCATGCAACTATCAGGGTTTGGGTAAAATCTATATTTTTCACATTTATAAAAACAGTTAAGAAACTTTTCTATGCCTCTTACAAATGGCATTGTTGCGATTTTAAATTATTTTAAAATAAAATAAGTCTCCCAGACATTATTTTTTTTTGTTCATTGCACTTAGTGGTTTAAGGAGCGAATTACCGTAATATCTCAAGAAATAGCCCATCTAAAGTCAAAAGCAAATCAGGTGAAAATAAAGAGTAAGCTAACTCTCAACGTGTGATAAAAAAAAGTAAAAAAAAATGCTAGTTTTAAATTCAATTGAATTCAATTAAATTCCTCTACAGCCGGCCATTACAGCCATACGGTACAGAACTCCATGGATATCAGCTGATAAGACACATTCTGCATTTAAAAAGGATGCCTTTTCAGAACACAATCAAGATACTGAACTCGGAAGAGATGAAAGACCTCGACGGCAGCTCGGGCTCGGACAAGGACGGAGACGACAATGGCGAGGGCATCAGGTTCCGCAGGTTCAAGAACGTCATACAGAGTGAGTGAGCCCAGCCAATGGGGTTCCCTTGAATCCACCGCATTATCTCGAATGGCTGGTCTTTGCACATTTAACGCTGTTGACACTGCCACTTTTGTAGGTCTCTGCCTTCTGAAACCTGCAAATGATTCTGTTGAATGTCTTCATTATGAAATAAAAAACTAAAAAATAACGATCTAAGCTCAATGCTCGGGAACTTTGTCTAGTGACTACAAATGCTCCTTACACCTTTTTGTGGATTAGAGCCGGTGCTTGCCCCAAATTTGCAATGGCCTTTCAGTGGTGTCCACAGCACTGACTGGGTGTGCAGGAGCCAGTGATCGGTATAATGACTTTTTAGCTAACAACCTTGGCTTTACTGAGTGTCTTGCCCTCTTCAGGGCCACCTGGCATTACTGACTGATATTAATTGACAAAGTTTAATTGGCGCAAAGTTTGAGTGGACATTGTTCGATGCAACGTAAGAAATAATGCCTTTATATTGAGAGTTCAGTACTGGTTGCCGGAAGTCAGCTGATGTTTTTTTGTTAGTATATGTCCATTTAAGCTGTAGTCAAAACTATTGTGATAGCTACAAGTCGTTTTCTCTGCTGCAGGCGGTGTAATCCCAGACGCAGCCACCATCTACGCCCTCAAGAAACAGCGGCAGATGGCTCGAGAGATGGGCGACTTTGTGCCGCTGGAGCCGCAGGAACCCGAGGAGAAGTCGCGTCTGACCAGGTGGGTGCATCAAGATGATTGTTAAGTGGTATGGCTGCCTCCGTCTTCTTTCTGTGAACTCTGGGCAACTGCAGCTTACCCCTGACACCGATATCCAGTCACCCGGGCATGTTGAGAGTGGAGCAGAACCAACCCTTGTGGCATTTGGGTCATTTCAGGAACGAGGACGAAGACCAGAGCGACGAAGAAGAAGGCCGCATCAACTTCACGGTGAACACGGGCGCCCTGGAGAAGCAGCGTGCCCGTGAGGCCATGATACAGGCCCAGGAAGGTGCGTAAGATGTGGACACGTGCAAATTGCAAAAAGAAGCAACTAAATCAGTGCTGTTAGTTGTCATTCACTGAAATGGTAACTGATTATGTTGCTCGTTACGGGGCTTCAAAGAAAGTCTGTTACTTGACCTCAAGATGTTACTTTCCTCATTACTTTTCAAGTGAAACCAGCTGGTGGCTGATGTGTGCAGATCTTGGCTTGCTGCAGTTCGCCCTAAGTGTCTAATATGTCTATAAATCATTGTGCTAATAGATGATTAGCGGCATGCTGCAATTGAAAAATTTGGACACCGATAAGGCAAAAATTGGGTGAACTTGATGTGCGTTTTTGCGTAGGAGCCCCAAAAGGCTCTTTTTTGTGTTTTGATTGACGGTTTTGGGGAAAGTTTGACTGAGGCCTGTCGTGACCCAAGGTTCGAATCGGTGTCTTTTCAGAGAACAGCAACCACGAAAACGAGCATGAAGATGTGGCCGAATTGGAGCGCTGGGAGCAGGAGCAGATGAAGAAGGGCGTGAGCACGGCCCCCATTGTGAGTAGCCCACGCTATGTTAGCGCATCCCCTATCGGTGTTTTTTCGAGTGTTCTAGACCGCCCAAGCATTGAATGGACTAGTGTGTCACAAGACCTGCCGAGGAATGTTAGACGTCATTAATATCCAGCTCCCCCCCTCCGAAAAAATGTTCTGGCTACGCCACTGCTCCCAACATGTCAATTGGCCAACTGCAAAGCTGCGACAGGTGTCTGCCGTGCGCACTTTTGCTGCCACACTGCCAGGATTGTAGCTTTCTGCAGTACCTTCCTATTATAACATCGCCAAGTTGAAATCGGGGAGATCAAATTAGAACTCGGGCAAACTCACCGGTTCGAGACGCATTCCAACTGCCATACCTCTTCTCACAGCTTTTCACTATGGGCAGGTTTGGACATATACTCTTTTTGGCTTTTCCCACTCTGCTGGTTTTTATAATGCCCATGACATTGGAATGATCAGCTGATCAGCCCTTCCAATCTTGCCAAATGTTGAGAAAATACGGCAGCCCTCATTGGGACTGGGGAAGGAAGGAATGACTTTCAGAGAAGAGCTTAGTAATATCGTAAAGTTGCGAGGGAATACCCGCCCCTGAAAGATCATTCATCCCGTTTTTTGGGCTGGCGAGAGATTGCCCACCCCTCGATTCTCGCCAGATATCGATCGCGCAATATCTGACGGGAATCACATCAACCGTGCTATCTGTGGTATCGGTATGCATGACAATTATGTTCGTAGCGAATTCCCACATACTTCTTGCACCGTGAAACGGGAATCTGCTGCATCCCCATTTTGTGGTATCTGTTCCCATGACATTAATTTGTAGCGGGTTAGCGCACTTTTGTCCATGATCTGCGCGCATGGCATCGGTTCCCATGACACCCGGGTTTGTAGCACGTTCTTGAGTGTTTATCGCAGCGTGAAGCACGAATGTGCTGCATCCGCATTCTGCTTTTTCCAATCCCGTGACAGGAGAGTTTGTTGTGAATTCCCACATACTTATCGCACCATGGAACGCGTCCTTGTTTCATATAGTTTGTAGCGCCCCCCCCCCCCCCCCCCCTCCCAATTTGTGCTTATCACCTATTGTTTTATTAAATTTCGGAGTGCATTTCTACCCATTGCCCACCCCATATTTTTCACCATTTATTTCTAAATTTTGGGTGGACATTCTTTTGGAACTTTATGGTAAATGTGTTTGTTTCTGTTTGCAGGTTGCAATGACAGACAGCAGCACCGCTGTGCCCCAGCCCAGCATCCCAAACTATTTCACCAACTACCCTCCTGCCGAAGCTGACACTGACACCGTACAGACTTACCAGGTACCCAAGGACAAGGGGGATCTCACCACAGAAATGATAACCAAGAGAGTTACTGACAGGTGAGCGCCACTGCCTTTCTTGGCCTCTTTTCTGCTTGCGGAGTTTCTGCCGCGTTTGTTTTTAATGACGGCTTCCAAAATAGAGTGAGAAAAGTCTACGCATTGCCCTCGATGCATATTGCTAAGTATTTTAAGACCTTAAAGCCTTGCAAGTTGCACAATACTACAGTTTGGAGCAGAAAAGAACTGAAGGGACTATAGTTATGATTTCCAGGAATAGAGTACTGCAATTATAATTGGAAGAAGTCAGCTATAAAGACAAATAGGCTAAAAGAAAAAGATTTTTTATTCATTTTTCTTTGTTTAGAGCAGAGTTTGGCGCAGGGACAAGACTGGTGTTGAGGCTAGAACTAGTGAATTTGCGTGTTGCATGTATGTTTATTCAGTCGGAAGTTAGTTAGCCCCAATGGGCATCTCGTGTCTCAGCTATAGGTGAGCAATTTAGCCAGTGCAATACAACCGCTAGCCTGGGGTCTTTAACAAGCACCATCCAATAGGCAGGGGTGGGGGTTGGACCCGGGATCGCCCGCTGCATGATCTTTTGCTTCACGCGCCTTGAGCTGTGGTGTGTTATAATTGCTCGTCTGCTGATCCCCCCAGTCCGGGTTTGCTGGGCCACCTTGCACTGTCCGGGTTGCCAGGTCTAGATGGGGTGACGAACTTCGTTGTGGGAAGCTGGGGTGGTTCTTGTCGGGAACAAAGTTGCTTCCTTTGGCCTTCGACGACTAACTTGTTCAACTCGGGAGTTGCTTTTCAATAAACAATTTGATATTTTTGTAGTGAATTAAAAATACATCAGCGAAATATTACTGTAAAAGGTAACTTACCCTGCACGGGGTTTGGAGGGAGGTGCTCGGGTGTTAGCTTATCCAAGCTCGGGGGATTAAGTTACGACTGCGCAGACATTGCCCTTCAGAGTCCCTCGACTGGGCTGGCTCGATTACGGAGCGTCAGCTCCCAAGCTCCAGCACAAATTGAAACCATCTGCTGCATTTCCACTAAAAATTGTTCGTTGGCCCATCCACTTTTGGTGAACTGGCGAATCCTCGAAGCTTTGTCAGTCAGGTGTTTCCCACTGGCTGAAAGTCCACAACCAATCAATCGGCTAACTTTCTCACCATGGGGCAATTGTTTACGTTCCCGCGTGAGACCTTATGATCTGCATGTGTATCTCACGGCCAAAGCTCAGGCGGATTCGGATGCAAGCAAACTTTATGTAGAACTCGCAAGGCGAGTCAGACAGTTGACCTTGGTGTGGATAGTGCCGACTGGGCTAGCCCGTCATTCATTCCGCGAGACACGGTCTGACGTTGTCGTTCTACAGTGCCCCCTAAGACGTGGGCGAGAAGGACTACGTTGACGTAGACAACACCAGCCAGAACCACCACATTCTGCCAGCCCGAAACACACATTCTGATTCTCTCGCAGAAAATGCGCGTTTCGATCCTCGCGTCGTAACTTATGCCTGTCTCTCGAGGTCACCCACCACGGGCAGGTGTTTACGCCACCGTTTTCCTACCAGCCAAGTCCCTCTGGTGCTAACAGCCCACCCACAGAGCCTTACACCCCCTGAAGGTGACCATGATTGAACTAAATTGTAAGCTACTCCGAGATTATAACCAAGCTTAGATGCTACGAAAATTTTATTACAACTCCTAAAATACTTTTAGTTGCGGAAATTGCAACTAATTACAGTAAGGGCTTTAAATTGGTTACTTTACAGTTCTGATTTGTGCATTTTTGACATGAAATCATGTTTGTTGCCTCGGAAAGCGTGATGTGACATGTTTTTTTGTTGTGGTTGTCCTTCAGGCTGGCCAGCGTCCGGGAGCTGCTTGCCCTCCATGAGCAACAGAAGACAACGGCCCTGCTGGATCTGGAAGCCTCTGCTGAGGCCATAGAGCAGCTGCAGGAAGAGCAGCCCAAGCTGGCCGCACGCTTCCACTTTTTTCAGGAGATGCGGGGCTACGCCACCGACCTCATCGAATGCATCGATGCCAAGGTACGTAGTACTGATTTGTCCGACTTTGCCTCAGTTCAAGGAAACCTTAGCCACTTGTATTGCGTGCAAAGTCGAAAAGCCTGTCTTTCTGGCCCGTCTTTAACTTCTCCGCCTTTCTTTTTACTTCCCTCGCTAAATCTTGCACGCTGGCCAGACTCGAAATAATATTGGCCGCTTTCACTCTTTTGTTTTAGTCGTGGCTCATCTTCTTTTGTGGTTGAAAGCAACCACAACAATAGTGAACGACTTTGCAGATTTGTAACCAATATTTTTGAACCTTCGTTTGATACACAAGGAAGAGAGAGCAGAATGCGTCCATTGACGTTTCCCTCGTGACCTCGACTGTGCAAACACTGGGGCGGCACTTCCATTCGAAACTTCCTGAAACGTGTCTCCGATTGGTGTGTTGACTTCGGCCTCTAGCTTGACAGTTCATGGAACTTCGAGCAGCCAGGAGTGGGGACGCCTCGACGACGACGACACTCTTGTTCGCTCCTGCTTTTCGCCAGCACTTCTAGGACCAACCGTCAGGCTTGTGACATCCAGCAGCATGACACTCTGGCTTTTGCGACATATATTGTTGCCACTTGGGAACCACTTTCGAAGCATGGGCAGGACGCTAAACACGCCAGTCGGAGACACGTTTTGAGCGCTATAACAGAACGTTCGGCGTGCTTCAAGTCAAGCTCTCGCAGATGCCGGTCCTCCTTGCGCTGGAGGGCCGCATGATGTCGCTGCTGTGTCAGCGCAGCGAGCGTCTTGTGCAGCGGAGACACCAGGACATCAAGGACCAGGCCGAGGAGTGCACCCTGGCCGGTGAGGGAGCGCTTTCTTCATCCGTCTTTGGAGGCAGGGCGCCTGACTCGGTTGCTTCTGTCATTGCAGTGAAGAACCTGAAGGGGGCACCCAACCTGGCGGACGTCGGACCGAAGGGGAACAACTCGCGCAACTGGAGAGCTGCCGAGCGGGAGGGCCGCAGGTACCGTACCGCGAATCCCCCGTAGCCGCTGCACTTTTAGGAAAGCGTACCGTTGCCATAAGAGACGTGCGTTGAGGAGCCGCAGAATCTAGAGTGAGGCTTGCCGTGCGTAAGCTTTCGTCCACTCATAGCAAATTCTCAACACAACCATTTTTTGCGAGAATTTGTAGTTTTTCATATAAGCGACTGGTTCCACATCCTTCGGCGGCTCTTTTTTGTGCACCTCACTGTCCCGTGCAGTTCTCGCTTTACAAGAGTCCCGTCGACCATGTATGGTCAATTGTTCTAGAGTCAAAGACAGTTAAGACATTTAATTTGGACAGTTGGCACATTGCTTCGAGGATAAATAAAAATAAAAACAAACCTGAAATGAGACAGCCTTTTTTTTTTTTGTCATTGTTTTGTTTCTCCGGTCACTTCCTGCTTGGAAGGCATGTCTCGACGTTGCCGACACTCTGCTCAGGGTCCGGAGGCGGAAAGCCCGGGAAGCCAAGAAGAGCTGCACAACCCTGGCGCATCAGGAGGGCATGTCGACGGACGACGAGCAGCCAGACACGGAGGTGCTCGCCTTCAACAAAGAGATAGGTGAGGCTGCCCAATCTTGCACCGCCTCTCGATCGGTATCATTACCGTGCCTGGAAATCGTCTCCAAACGGTGCGTTTGGTACGCTACATGTCAGTTGAATGTTTATAATCTAGTGCATTTGCTTGCAGGTATTGTGGTTAGCAAATTTCGAAAGAGCAAAGTTTCTGAACATGCTTTGTTTCAATGCCAGTGCCACTGTTTTAGAGAGATGGGAGCGCAGGTGCCTGTAGTGTTACTTATTTTGAAGACACTGCTGGCTAACTTTTGAAAGCCAAGGCAGGGTGTAAGCAGAGCAGTAAAAAAAGGGTCGGTAAAGCAACTAAATATGCATAAGCATTCAGTAAAACGAGTAAGCTGTTTAGTTCTTGGAGTCCATTTTAACGCACAAAAGCTCATCAACTTCATTAGAAAATGTAGCAAAAAAGGACGACACCTGTCACGCTGTGGGGCAACTCGGTATTCGGAAATGAATATTCTAAACGTATTTCCTGCAACAAATCTCGTGAATCAGTTTCTCATGCTTCTGTCTTGTGTCACGGCTATATTAAACTGAAGATAGACATCAAACTTTAAACAAGCTTTGTTATATATTATGCTATATAAAATAAAATATAAAAATGACAACTCAGGCAGTCCAGATGCAGCATACAATGGTGGAACATTTGATTCTTTGCCATATAAATTATAAATGGGTCTAAGTTATTTTTTTTTAATCCCCTCCAACTGGTTTGTTTACAATTGTGAATTAGGGTTCCATAAGATGTTGGCATATTCTAGTAAAGGAGGGATTAGAGATTTATATGTTGTTAGCTTGGTTTCAGGAGTGCAGTGTATCATAGTCCTTTGGAGCGACCACAGTTTCTTTGACGTTTTGGCAATGACTACCTGCCCAATGTCAGAAGTCCAGCTTAAGCTAGAGGTAATTGTAATGCCTAGGCACTTGTATTCATTGCCTACTGCTACAGCTTTTGAGTTGATAGTTTAGGGGGAAAAAAAGTGGTACCTTCTTCCACGTTATTGTCATTTGCATGCATTTCTTAGCGTTCAAGTCCATTTGCCACTTTTTACACCACAGAAAGATCAGTTGAAGGCTGTCATCTAAACATTTTTGATCATTAATGCAAGCTATTTTGGAAAACAGTATACAGTCATTTGTGAAAAATCTACACTGTATCGAAGGTTCATCTACCATCAGATTATGATAAAAACTAGAAAAAGCAATGGTCTTTGTACCAAGCCCGGGGGATGCCAGATAGAACGGGTAATTCAATGGATTCTACTTTGCCCACAGACACAAACTGTTTACAGTTGGTAAGGTAAGAGTCTAACCCTTTCAGGAGGCAATCATTATCTAGTGCCTGTTTCAGCTTACGCAATAACTTCGAATGCGAAACCCTGTCGTACGAATTTGTGAAATCTAAGAAAACAGCATGAACTCCACCATCATTGTCAATTACTGTTGCAAAATTATGGACCGTGTGGAGAAGTTGTGTCTTTGTCGAGCACCCTCTAAGGAACCCGTGTTGTTCACCTATTAGATATGCAGTAGTTCCTAGAAAAGTTGTGATGTGCTTGAAAATGAAATGTTCAAGAACCTTACTACATGTACTCAACAACGGCACTGGTCTATAATTGCAAACACTCTTTTTCTTTCCACTCTAATGTATAGGCACTACTTTGGCTACTTTACAATCTTGTGGCACCTGACCCGTTTTTAAACAGATACTCCTACGCACCCATGCATAGGATTGTCTTCAAGGTGGCAACGAGACATGCCACTGAAGCCTCACAAAAAAATCCAAAACCCATACCTTATTCAATATGTCCTTCAAAAAAAAAGAAAAGGGGGGTTGAGGGTTTAAAATGTGTGTAGGGGTGGGCAGGTGCTTTAAGGCTCATGCCTCTAGCATAGTTTCGACATACATTTTAGTACATTTATTTCAAACTGTCGTGGAAGGAACTTTTGCGATTGAGTAGACAGGTTAACGAGATGCATTCCTCGGTGTGCGCCACAGAGGTGATTCTGGACGACGCCCGGCACGTGTTTGAGGACGTGACGGAGGACTTCAGCAGCGTGACTGCACTCAAGCTGAAGTTTGAGCGCTGGAAGCTGGAGTTTGAGGAGTCGTACGAGCAGGCCTACATCCCCCTGTGCCTGGTGAAGCTGCTCGTGCCCTTCGTCCGGCTCCAGCTGGTCACCTGGAACCCCGTCGACGTGAGTGCCCTTCCCACCGACGCCGCATCAAGTCTTGGCTCAGCGCCTTTTTTGGTGTCATTCCTTTTGTCTGCCCATTTACAGTTTGGGTCTTCGTGCATTTGCCACAGTTGGACTGGTTACAGGACCAATAGGGTCAAATTAATCATTAAAACATGCTTAACCCTTGACGGTCAAGTTTTCTTTCCAAGCGATATTTCCCAGTGGTCGGGTTTTGTTTCCAAAGGAATACTATAAATCTCAAAGTTGTTTCCCCGGAGTAGCCTCTGGGGTGAGCCCACAAATGTCCTCGACCGCCCCTACCCTGAGGGATAGCATTTTTCCTGTTTAAGTTTTAGCGGATCTGAGGCTTTTATTGGTGTAGTACATCTGTTATTGTTTACAAGGCTTGTTTTGTGGGGCTTCTGTGCTGCTTTATAGCAACAGCACCGAAACTGGGAGGGGTTCCTCAGCTGTCAACTGAGATAATAGGTGCTCATCGACACTGTGAAGCTCGAGAACCCCGGTACAAAGAAAGGGTCAGTGCGCAGGTTTCTTCTTCATTATCTAGCGGGAGCACGTACAGTGCTTGCAAGCTGTTCAAGTTTTAGAAACATCAAATGGAAATATTGAAGGCAAACATTTGTCACCTTTCTTCTATTTGGTTTCATTTGGGTGCGTCCGCTTCTGCGAAGCGGCTTCATATTCCGAACCGGAGGCACTTTACAGAGCTTCCCCATTGGATGGTTAGCTCTCATTCTCTGAATTCAATTTTGAGAGGCGTTAAAAGTCTGGACCATCTCACACGTGTTGCGTGCATGAGGCATCTAGTCTCAAAAACATAAATAGCTCCAGCAAAGCAAAGCTCCATGCGAATATAATGTCTATAGCTCGCCAAAGACATAACAAATAGCAACTCCTCAAGCGGTGCGCGCACTGTCGCATTTAGCCGGGCACTTCCAAATGTGTAATCTGCCGGACATGTATGGTGACTATTGCCCTTTTAAGCAGAAAAGGAAAAGGTTGTCGGCGCAACAACTGCTGGACCGCGTGCGCCAGGGTGGTGGTGTTATGGATGCCTGCAATGCACATAGGAGACTGTACAGTCCTTTGTGTAATACAGTCAACAAACGACAGATAGAGACATCATAGAGTACCGACATACAGTTCAGTGTAAGATTTTTCATTATATCAGGCTTTAAGTAAACAGCGTATATCGAGATGTGAAAATTAAAAAGTAATCTCTGATGCATCAAAAAGAGTCTAGCACAGCTTGCGCTATTTGTTTGCATAGATGTTACGAAAATTAACCTATTCTGCCAGAATGAATTCAGAGTTTGCACCTTTTGGTGCCTGTGTCCTTCCTTTCGGTCATGCATTTTGGCAGTTGTGTTTTAACGTGATAAACGTTGTGGCAGCACTAAGTGTCTATTCTCGGTGTTGGTAAAAAGAAAAATAGGCGTTTACAGTGATGGAGGTGCTACACCAAATTGTGCCATGAACGAAAGTCTGCTACATATTGCACCAAAATGGCATCTTTGCTAAGAATTCCACCAGACCTGCTTCGACATGAGCTTAAATGAAGCAAAATATAAGAATATTTTAATATTGGTCGACCCTAATACTCAGAAAAGAAGGAGGAAAAAAAAACAATGTATTTTTAAGGCATGACTACAATATGTATTTCACAATGTTTCTATTCACCGTATAGAATTTTTCATCATAAGTCAGAACACAGTCGAAGGCTCGAACACATTTAGCCACAAACATACCAAAAGCGCAAGTCATGGTTTAGCCGATGAAAGAACACATACACAAAGATGAACGAATGCCATGATATCGCGCTTTGACGCTGTTAGGTTGGTCCTACTGGCTCGTAGCTTTCGCTGCGCTGTGAATTAATGCAAAACAAAGTTTAGAGATTGCTCATCAACCGCGCTGGCAGGTTGATCGCTAACATCGTCTAAATTTAGAGACGACGTCGGTGACGTCAGGAGTTAAACTTCACGAGAAAGCATTGCAAAGTCGTAGGATGGCGGCTACTGTAATAAGACCAAACCAGGGTCTTGTACTCCTGATGAGATCTCTTGATTATCATGTCAGATGCATGCCTCTGTGCCGACTCTCACCGCCTCTCACCAGTGTGCACGCGCATCAAAATTCACCTTTTTGCACCAGAGTGCTAGGAGCTGTGGCTTACATGGGTGAGCCCCTGGGTCATTGCGATGGGATTGCAAGTTATGCTCAGTATGGTTACAGCATTGTTTGGAGATTTGTGTTGGTCCTTTGTTCCCCTTGTTCCCCTTCTCCAGGGATCATTAGTGTCGCTCTTGTTCAGCTCGCTTGCACCTTTGCATTAGTTGCATTATCACTATTACAGGTCTACCTTATTTAATCTTAATTGTAAATTAATCTCTAATAAAAGAATAAAAAAAGCTACCGTAAAATACCGTAGGAGCGCCCATCCAACTTTCACTGAAAACTGGGATAATCTAGACATGGGCGCTTGTCCGGTCAAATCAGGCGCTTAACGTATGATTTGCAGAATTCACAAGTTTGGGAGATGTTAATAGTGGGCACTTTTGCGGTCTTTTACGGTATGTCAAGAAAGAGGAGGGGGAAAAACAATGTGGGTCTATATTTGAATAAATACGGTAGCCAAGGTTCCTGCGCAGCTGTTGATCGAAACAGCAGCGGACTTTGACTTCACTCTGGTTCTAAGACTGCTAAACAGCAGTGTCACTTTTAAAGCACAAGTGTAGGTTTTCATAACATTTGTGGGCAGTTGTTTTTGCAGTTTATAATATCGGAGTCTTGATTTCAGTAGGTTCATAAAACTGGAGGATGCATTTTTATTGTTTTAGCAGATATGCTGGTTTTGGCTGGCATTTTACAGAAATGATATTTACAGGCCAAATAAGCTACCGTGTGTAAAAATGGGAAAGGTGAGAGTATTTATCCCAGCTGAAATGTTGCACTATGATTCATTTTTCAAAAATTTTTTTGAGTATTTTTTGTAAATGGAATTTTCTCTAACCAGAGCCTTAGGACTAGAAAGAAGTCTCTGTGTTCTTTTTCTGCCCCATCTATTCTTATTACAAAAAGGTAATAAGTAATATGCTCCAGTGTCAAAGAGATTTAGTGATGCAGTCACTTTTTCATTTTCAAGTGATGTACTAACAGATGGTGGCATCTGCTCCAAAAGCGTGAGTGGCTGCTCCAAACAAATATTTTGCCGGCTACAGAAACTGCTGCAAAACGTCAAATGCCGCTTTTATCACTGCGTTTATCGGGGTGTATAGTAAGTAACTGACGTCGCGCGACAACATTTTGACTCGTGGCAAACGACGTAGAAACCCGAGAGCCTGGAGAGCTGTCCCTGGTACGAGGCCCTCCTGTTCTACGGTGACTCGAGCGAAAACCTGGACGTCGAAGACCCCGACCTGTGCCTCATTCCCCGCATCGTGGAACGAGTGGTGTTGCCCAAGATGGCCGGTGGGTCAGCCGAGCATTCTCTTTTTATAAACCTGCTGGGTGTGCTCAGACTTGCTGGTGTCAGAAGACTCGAGTCCTTTTACAGCCCCTTCCCCTAGCAAATAGCGAGCGCTCGCACATTTGGGACATGGAGAATCCGGTCTCGGTGGGGGAGCAGATGGAGCAGAGGGAAATGTCAGCGAGCAGAGCAGACGGAGCTGCTCTGCTCGCTGGCATTTCTGCCGCATGGCCACCACTGTCGCTGCCACAGCACCGTTGCGGCTGTTCTTTCCACCACTGCCGCCCTTGTTGTGCTGGACAAGTGCAGCTCATATTTACTGCCTTAGAAGCTTTCCGATCAATGTACCCTTCCCGTGGAGTAATAAACATACCCTCGAGTAAGAATGACTTTTTACACATCTTGATCGCAACCCTGGCTCTTTGGCGGGAACGTTAACACCTTGGCACTGCGTCTTATCGCTTCGCCGTCTTTGGAACATCTTGTAACGAGGCTTGTAGCTTCCCGCATCTTTCTGTCGCCAAATGCTACTGGTGTAGTCGCTTTTGTGTTTGCCACAACGTCGCTAACGCAAACATCAAAACTGAAATGTTGCGAGTGACTACAGATCAAACTCCTCCAAAAAATGCAGCGCAGATATTTTCTCCGGACTGCTCGATGTGCTCTGCCACTTTCTCACAGATCGGTTGGAGGTGCTCGGCTAGCGCTGCACCAACTCCAGATCTCTAAGCGGTGCACAGAGAGATTGGTTGCATCTCGCGAGTGGCACAATAATCCATTTGCCGAGTGCTCGCTATTTACCTTAGAAAGGGCTATTTGTGTGAGGCGAGTGAAAATATGAAAAAATAACAATCCTTAATCGGTACCACCTGTAGAGGGACAATGCCAACTTAAATTTCAAAAAAAAAAAAAAAAATGGTAGAGATCTATTAAAAGGTTATTTTGAAAAAAATACCCTTTTAGTTATTATACAGGAAAAAATAGGGTGTGCGTGAGCACCACTAGAGGAACGGACTCGATCAGCGGGCTTTTATTTATTAACAAAGTAAAAATTATCCTAAAAAAATTATTAAAATACATTTTTGAAACATAAAAAGATCCTTTTTTTTTTCTTTTGCTGTTGGTCATTTTTTGCCGGGTGTCTCTTATTGGTTGGGGTGTCAGATGACCCTAGTACTGTATCAGTCTTTTGCTGAAATTGGGCAAGACGAAAATTACCTTAAAGGCCGACGTACACTTCGCGCTTTCCACTTTTGCCCGCCACCTCCTTTCTTATATCCTCCCCACGTTTTACCTTGCCCCAACCTGGCTCCCTCTTGCAGCTTAGGAGAGGGGAGTGCTGAAAGGATTATCTTCCCTGCAGAAAACCGAGGTTGTACGTCGGCCTTTAAGATAAATTGTTTTTGTTTGCGTGAATGTGTTTGTTTTGCAAGGCAGCTCTTGTGCAGTAAGACAAAGCCAAGAGACAACATTTTTTTTAAGATAGGTTTTCAACCTTTATTGTAATTGGTTAATTTTTGTATTTGTCAGATACTGCAGGTTATCAACCTTTTAAAGGGGTAGGGAAACGAAATTCCGGCGCTCATTTTTTAGCTTTAATGCGTTGCATGTTGCAGCATAACCTCAAAAATACCAGACCTTCGTTGAAAGGCACAAACAAACTAATTTAAAGCTAATTAAACGGTCTTTTAATTTGCATTTGGTGGATGCATGCGATGTAGTCATGACGTAGCAAGCTCCATCGAAGCATCGCCGCTCTTTGGCATTTCAACATTTTCCTTCTTAGCTTTCCTCCCGCGTATTGTACCAAACAGTCCAAGAAAACGGAATAGAAGGACTCCCCTCTTTCTCGGACCCTCGTTTGTACACCCGGATACAGCCATTCTCCCCCTTGAAGATTAGCCCGTCGCTCAAAGCTCGGACAAAAGTTGCTTCCCCCCCCCCCCCCCCCCCCTTTCAGCCCTAAGCTGACAGTGTTGTGGAAGCTACGTTCTCCTTGGGCCAGCCACATGCTCGTCACCCCACGGGTACTTCGAACGACTCGGTTGTAACGCGTTGACGCTACTGACACCACCACAACGCTGACAACGCCACCAAGGGCGAAGCTCATAAGCACGCCTGCCTTGCTACTCCACAAACGCGGGAAATCTTTTCTTTCTGTTTTTGTTTGCGCCGGATATCCCATGACGCATCGCGCTCTCTGTTCGCTTTTCTTCGAGCGCTTGCTCGAGTGCACCGTTTGGAACAAAAAATATATCCAGTTGTTTAAAATACAAACGTGCGATTATCATTTACGGTTATTATTCGTCATGCTTGACTCATTTCCAAACAAAATTTCAATATTTAAATTTTTTGTTCCCATACCCCTTTGAATAGGCAGGGAAAGAAAGGGGAAAAGAACTAGCAATTCTGCATCCCAGTGGCAGCAAACAACTTGAGGGCTAGGTTTTTTTTTTCTTCTCAAAACGAAGTCAAAGTGTTTTTTTAGAATGCAGCTTCATTGTCAACATGGAAGAAGGAAAACTTGCGGGATGACAGATGCCTGCCCCTTGTCCTCTACATTTCTACTCTTCCAACATCCATGGTTTTCTTAGAAGGCAGTTTTCTTGCCTTCTAAAATTTGGTTGCACATGGCGAGCACCTTTAGCTTGGAATTTTGTGTCTCCAGCCCTGGCAGAGAAAGTGTGGGATCCGATGTCAAGCAACCAGACGCTGAACCTGGTGCGGACGGCCAAGAAACTGGTTGAGGATTACCCCATGGTTGGGGGACACAGCCGCCATATGCAGGTGAGTGAGTTTCTGATGCAGCTAGATGCCGAAAGATTGTACTGTCGCAGTATGGTCGTTGCAAAGTGCAAAAATCGCCTTAGTAGCAAAGTGCCCTAGTGTCTGTATATTGATCACGATTTGACCTGTTCCCTCTCCTCATGCACTCTTAGCAAGGGTGAACAAGTGGGCAGTGTTTAGAAAAATGTTTACCTTGGGAATGTGGTACATTGGCAACATCTCATGTTGCTCGGTTGGTGCCACCGAATTTTGTAACCAAACTTTTTGGCCATCCGTGACCACCACAGCCCTGCATATCCACGAATTACCCGTGGATCACCTGCGGTTATCCGCAGTCAACTGGTGGATCCAGATAAAAATTAATCGGATTTGGCGGACTGCGTATTGGATGCGGATATCTGTGGGTCCGGACCTACATTTTTGCCGAGACGGCCCATAAATGTGTATGCCCGCAGAGTGTGGAGTGAATAAGTGAATGATACAATGGAGTGCATCATCGAATGTTTTACGGGAGAAAATTACTCTTCAAGAAAAATGGTTCCAATCGGGGGGAAAATTGCTTTTTAGGCCAAGCAAGACCCGATTCTCACCAAAGATCTCTTTAGAGCGTTCCATCTCACCAAAAATGCTGTCCCTAGATAAATGAAAGAATGCCGGGTCATCAGTCATCCCGGGAAAACATGTTCTTGTTTAGCAGTGAAAGACCGGGAAGTGTTCTTCGGGCAAGGAAAACCCAAAACGTACAAGCCACAAGAAAGCGAAGAAGCCTCCTTCCTTTGTTCATGTTTAAAACTGAAACTAATGGAGGTGCTACCGTTATAGAATATATGGTGATATTTTCCCAGTGATCTACAGTGCGACCCACTTATAACGATAATAAGAAAACCCGAAATTTCAATCGTTATAACCGATTATCGTTGTATCTGGACTAGAAACTGATCATTTCCGGTCTAGAAACCCTAGAAACTGATTGCTATAAGCGGTACATCGTTATAGTATGTGGTATCATTGTAAGTGGGCCTGCACTGTACTCGCGTCTTACCTCATATATACGAGTGCCTCGCTGCGGTGAGTGGCCATCTTTCCTCTCCCACTTTTTGATTGTTTCACCTAAATAAAATGAAACAATATTATAAGTCTATCTTTCATTAATTTTCATGTTTAGAAAATTCGCATTTAAAAAAAAGTATTTCAAATGCAAAAAAAAACAAATCTAAATTTTTTTTTTTCTAATTACATTTTTTGGGCAGTGTTACACACTTCCAGGATAATTTCAAAGCTGTGATCATCTTTCCAGCGATGCAAAGTGTCTCTTAAGGGATGATCACTTATAAAATAAATATGATGAAACAAAATATGAACTTTCACCGTATTCTAACTCGGAGTTCTTTGTACAAAGCTAAGTTAACGGCTTATAAGGTACTATCTAGACGGCTTTCTTCTTTCATTCAAAATGAATTTCACAATGTAAAATGAATGATCATGGATTGCGGGTCGGATGCGGTTCCGAATTTTGCAGAAGTGGTTCTGATGCAGATATAAAGTATGTGGATGATCAAACTGTTATTTGTGCGAGGCTCTAATAACTGGTGACTTTCTGTGTTTCAACGTAAACAGAATTTCTAATGCCTTATTCTTCTTCTACTCCCAGAATTTCTTGGCCAAGGTGGCTGCTCGGATTCAGAGGGCCATCGACGAAGACGTCTACATCCCCCTCTACCCCAAGGAGTGAGCGCTGCCTGTCTTTTTTATCCACTGAAAAACGTCCTTACTCCTGTTGTCATGCATTACGCAAGTGCAATTGTATTGGAGTCACTTACTCATTTCTGCAACCCTTGCAGGGTACTGGAGAACCGAGCAGGTGTGGCAGCAGCCTTCTTCCATCGACAGTTCTGGTCTTGCCTCAAGGTAAGGCCCCGCACTGCACTTTGCTCTTTAATTTGTCTCATGTATTTGTGAAGTATGAAGACACCAGTACATAAAAAAAGATGCATTTTCTCTCTTTTGGGAGTCTATGTGTCAAGCCCCGTAAATGTTTTCATTATTTTAGTGTCGTGGGAACTTTTATTGAGACAAATTACTAGTATTTACTTGAACGTGAACATTTGGCAGATGTCTGTCTGGCTGGACCAAGAGTAAATAAAAGGGGAGATTACAACCAAGCCCTAATTAGGGACCTGACTTTTCGAGGCCGCTCGACCCCTTCTTCAGGGGTCATTCTGGCGATGACCATCAAAGAGCAGTATTCTGCTCTTTGATGGTCATCGCAGCAGTTTCGCATGGCTCCCAAAGGGCCGTACTGCGCATGCGCGAGGAGCAGTGGCGTCACACAGCGCACCAGAGCTGCCGCCGCCGTGCGCACCTGGCCAGTCTGTGCATTCCAGAGGAGTGACGTCATAGCCATGGCAGATGCACTGGCGCCGCCGCGTGCCCAGCTGTGCGCATAAACTCGCGCTACGTATATCCTGGCATAGCCGAGCCAAGACACCGCAATTTTTGTAGCGTAAGCTACACTGGCCGAGGTTGAGCAGTTTCGCGTGGCTCCTGGAGAGCCGTGCTGCGCATGCGCGAGGAGCAGTGACGGAACGGGCAGGACTGGTATGGCGCCTAGGTCAGTCCCCGATGCACGCGCTCGAGATTATGGCTCACTCTGTCCGTCTGTTCTGGGCGGCAGCTTGGTTGCTTGATACATAGCAACACGGCGCACAGCTGGCCAAACCAGCAACGGGCATCTGGCACACCCCAGTGGAGGACTGAGGATTAATTTGGACCACCTGGGGATCTTTTGACGTGCAACTGAAAGCTCGGTTACACAGCGCCTCCTCCGCAATAAGAAGAGCGGACAAGCTTAACTCATCGGATCCCGAAGTAGTCACACAATGCGTGTACCGTGTGTATCATTAAGCATGATAATCAAGCTAATCCTAGACATCCAGGAAAGCTAAGAATAACCAGCTGAACCTAAGCTTTTCTTCTATGTTGGTACATTTCTTTGTGGGTTGGTGATATCGCAAAGCCTGTTGACGTAGGCAGATGTTAAAGTGCCGGGAGACCTATGCGGAGCACAAGCCCTGCAAAAGAAGCAGACGAACTTGCACTCTGCATTGATGTTTTTTTGGCATAGTTTGTACGTGCCATGATTTTAAGCAAAGCTTTTTTCAGTGGTTAATTTTAATTCTGAGGATGCGGGTGCTCTTGAAGTCAATCCGGCTACGATGACAGGCTTTGTGATATCACTGACCCAAAGAGAAGTGCACCATCATAAAAGAAGAAAAAAGCTCGAGGTACACCTGAGCACTTCTTATGAGTTGTGAATGCGAAAGCATGCGTGCCGTTCCTCCGCTCCCTTATTTCGTCTGCGGTGTACTTGCATCGACAATCGAGCACGCACGCTCTGCTCGCTGCACCGACCTTGGGCGTGGAGCGGTGGAGCCGCTGCCTCACGGACACGCAGCGCCATGGGATCGCACTAATTGAAACTGATGCGCGGCAGCTTCATTTCACTGCTGTTTTGCGTGACTTTCTGCGTGGTTTCAAAGCTGGGATGCCTCAGATTGCAGCTTCGGGAACTTGTGTGCCGTTTGGCGCTGCTGATGACCTCGACTTGCTCCATGGGACTGTTAATGCTTTCGCATTAAAAACAAAACAAAAGATACTGCTCTTCTACGACCAATGTCACAGTCGCCTCCGAAGAAAGGGCCGAGGAGGACTCGAAACGTCGGGTCCCTATTAGGGCTTGTTTGGTTTTCCCCCCTTTTAATTACTAGTACTTACTGCAGTAGCTAGGATTTCTTAGTTAGTACGGTACATCAAAGTTACAATAATGGCCAAAAAAGCTCTCACCTTGTCTCTATACAGAAACTGTTGTTTTAACAAACACCTTTTTGCATATCTGTGGCAATCCTAATGTATTTATGCGTCCTCTGCATATATGCTCCTAAAATCATTTCGACATTGTGAAAACATAGAGATCAGGAGACAAAGAAAATAAAGTTCCAACAGAAAGGCCATGGTAACCGTACGTCTTGCATGCCATGTCTTTCTAAATGTTCTTTCCACGGGTAAAGCTATACCTCTTGTTAGGGACGTTATTAAATTGCAGCACTGTTTCTTCCCTCAGGAGTTGAATTGCCACACTATCCCTTTTTTCTGTTTGGCACGTTAGAAATTGTTGTGCTTTGGTTTTTCTTTCTTCGTGGTGCAGCTGATGAAGAATGTGCTGAGCTGGCAGGGCCTGCTAGCTGAGGACCCGCTGAAGGAGCTGTCTCTGTGCAGCCTGCTGAACCGCTATCTCGTGTTTGCCCTTCAGTCCTGCATCGGGCAGAGAGACACCGTGGAAAAGTGTAAAACGGTGGGTCGCAGTACCTCATTTTGAAATGCCTGGTTAGCACTGAGTGTTTATAAAATATCGAAGTATTCCAGCTGCATTTCAGAACTATGTTTGCATGATGCCTCTGCAGCAATCAAGCACTTCGAAATGAAGTTATATCGGGGTGGGTAAACAGGCTGCCACTCTTTTCTTATGTGCTAGATTGTAGGCTACTTGATAGGAAATCTTTTACTATGGTAATAAACAGGCATATCGCCTTCCGTCGAGCCATAATTGATTGGCTTTTAAGAGCTACCACATGAGCATCTTATAAACAGTTCAATCCACTTATAACGATAATAGGAAAACCCAAAAATTCAATTGTTATAACTAGGGTTCGTAGTTTTTGGTTTAATCCGATAAAAACCGATAAAAGTATGCCGAATTTATTTCGGAAATTCGGTTTTAACCGAAAAACGTCAGTTTGTAGGTTCAGCGTTTTCAGTTTAAACCTGTAAAAACCGATAAAAGTATGTCTAATCCGTTTTCTAAAACTGAAAAAGGTCAGTTTTTAGGGCCGCATCGAGGTTGGTGGTGGAGTTGGGACTGAGAGAGAGGAGAGACGGAGAGGGGGCTTTGCAAGGTTCGACATTGTGTGACGTCTTCGTGATTGCCCTCTTCCAAGGTAGAACATGCAACAAAAGAGGTCTTGGATTGGCCTTTGCTGGACATCTGTGTCCTCTCTTTGATTGGGCTTAAGTGTCAAGTTCCCGGTCTTAAAAAAAAAATGTTGAATGCGGGCTAGTATAAGGTTTTTCGCTTCATGCACTTCCGAGGACATCGCGGAGAGCCGTTAATGCCTTTCTTAACAACTTCTCTCAAACTTCCCTGTGGTTGAAAACATAAATACAATGGATCTTTTTTTTTTTTTTGCCATTACGCTGGTTTTTGTGCGGTTATCACCTCAGATGGTCACGTCGTCAGAATGGGAAGGAAAAAGAAGCGTGCCGTACATTATGCCCGCGAATTCCGTGATTTTGATGTGTGTCCTGACGGAAGTTGTAGCGAAAGACCATGTATGTATATGTGCCGTTAATCTTTGAGTGATCACGAATATCACAGCTACAAGGATCATCTGATCCAATGTCCGATGGTGTTCCTTTCATGTTCATTGAAAAACTTTTTTGAAAATAAATATACATCAAAAAAAGAAAACGAAAAATTGAATTTTAAAATAAACACCGAAAAAAGTATGCCGAACTTTGAAAAAATAGAAACCGAAAACGCGGAACTCTAGTTATAAACGATTATCGCTGTATGGGGACTAGGAACTGATAGTTTCTAGTCTAGAAACTCTAGAAAGTGATCAATATGAGCAGTACATCGTTATAACTTATAAGAGGATTGCACTTTACCCTGATCTCTCTCTTTTTTTTTTCGGCATAAAAAGTGTTGATATTAACTAATTAAACAGCTCGACCTACTCAGTCGTCTGGCTCCAGCAGATGCTATGCAGCCTTGCACGCATTACTGAAAAAGAGTAACCGATTACAATTACAATCATTTTATTGAAAAATGTGACTGATTACAGTAATATAATAATAATAATATATATTTTATTTTCCATTTACAATGGTGGAGGCCGAGAAAAAAAGCCGCACGAAACGGCTTGACGAGCTCTCGGCCCCCGAACTACATTCTGCAGCAGTGACAAGGCAAAAAAGAGACAAGGAAAAAAAAAAAAAAAAACACACGTTAAACGTTAAGAACACACGCCAAAAACACACACACCAAAAACATTAGTCGCCTACAACAAAATGGTACATCAACGCACGCAATTCTTTCATGCTTATAGTGCCTACGTCAACATCACTGTGAATAAAACAATTAAGCAGTTTAGATAATTTATAGCACAACATTTCTTTTCCTAGGTTCAATCGGCAAGTAGGTACATTCCAGTAATCAGGTTTTCGAAATTGATAATTGGGGACGCGTTGGTTTAAACCAGACAGTTCAATTATATAAGTACTGTTACTGCACAATTCATATTTATACTTTGTAGACAGCCTATAATTATACATGTTGTGGATACTTAATATATTATAAATTCTGAACAGGTTTTCTGTATGCGAGCAGAATGGCACATTGGCAATTATACGTAACATTCGTTTTTGAAGTAAATGTATTATCTTAAGATTTGTTGCCGTGGTAGTACCCCAAACTAGGTGGCAGTAACTTAAATGAGCCAAAAATAGAGACTTATACAGTAATAATTTAACCGACCTCGGAAATATATATCGATTCCGATATACCAGACCTACAACTTTTGCTAATTTATTTTTTAAATACTCAATATGATGGTCCCATGACATGTTTTGTGAAAACACAACGCCAAGCGTTTTGAAAGACTCAACCAATTCAATATTTACTGAGTTTATATAAATGTGTTCTAGTGCAGAAATAACTTTATTTTTCGGCCTAAATATCATAGCTTTTGTTTTATTGATATTTATTTTTAAAGCGTTTTTATCGGTCCATTGTCCTAATTTATCTAGTACTGTGTTGGCCATAGATATAAGTTGGTCTGCCTTATCAGCAGTAAAAAGAAGCGTCGCATCGTCAGCATATATAACAAATTTAGTTGTCTGGTCAATGTTCACAATATCATTGACATAAGCGTTAAAAAGAAAAGGTCCCAAAATACTGCCTTGAGGTACGCCCGATATTACCGATTTAACTGTGGAAACGAAAGTATTACAACAAACGTATTGTTTGCGGTTTCCAAGATAGGATTGAAGAAGAGTTAAAGCTTGTCTGCGAATTCCATAATATTCCAGCTTTTTCAATAATAGTTCATGGTTTAGAAAATCAAAAGCCTTTGTAAAGTCAACGTAAATACCAAGTACTAGTTTTCGTTTCTCTAGATTTCCCAAAATAAATTCTTTCTGTTCAAGTAAGGCAAGTTCAGTTGATTTATGCTTTCTGAATCCAAACTGGGATCTTGTAATTAGCTTGTGTTTATCAAAAAAGTTCGACAAGCGGATATGAATAACTTTTTCAAGTCCCTTTGAAAAGACTGGCAGTATTGACACAGGCCTATAGTTATTAATATCATTTCTATCTCCCTTCTTGTGCAGAACGGAAACCTTGGCTACTTGCATACGGACAGGAAATATTCCTGTCGATATGCACAAGTTGAAAATATGTGTTACATAGGGCGTTATAATGTCTAGAACATATTTTACTGGCTTAACCTGGATATCATCAACATCTCTACTCGTAGTGTTCTTTAAATTCATAAACACTGAAAACACCTCGGTATTAATAACGGGATCTAGAAAAACAGAACTCTCATTCCTTTTTTCAATGTATGAACAGGCTTCATTACTATATGCGTTTGTAGCTAAGTTTACAAAATGATCATTAATCGCATTAACTAAAGCAATACCTGTAAGTTCTGTACCATTCACACAAAGCTTTTCAACATCAACATGAGACCTGTCACATTGTAGGATTGAATTAATCCTTTTCCATAGAACATCAACACGTCCACTCGACGAGTCCAAGTTCCTATGATAGTAATTCGCCTTCGCCTTTTGAAGTTCCTTTGTTAGCCTATTTCTGTATAATTTGAAATTGTTTAGATCCGTCTGATCTCTTGTTTTATTAAATTTTTCGAACAATCGATTTTTTATATTAATTTTTGATAAGAGCTCTGGGGCAATCCAGGGCTTACGAATTCTTTTGGATGTTTTAAATGTCTTATACGGAAAAGTGCTTGCATACAGTTTTTTGAACCTGTCCAGAAAAAGATTGTATGCTAAATCAGGGTTTGTTTCATTAACAACGTCAGACCAATTTTCATTTATAATACATTCACGAAACGTTTCAAGGTTATCAGGCGTGATATCTTGAAAACGACTGATGGACTTTTTTTTTATTTTTATGGCATCGCTTGCCTGCTATGCAAAAGAAAGTTGGCAAATGGTCACTTATATGATAATTCAAAATTCCGCTAATCACACAAGTATTATCAACATTTGTGATAAAGAGATCAATAAGGGTTTCCGTGTTTTCCGTGATTCTAGTTGGTTTGGTTATCACATTAACACAGTCATACGTAGCAAGCAGAAAATCGAAATCATTTTTAGGTGTGGTATTAAGTAGCATGTTAATGTTAAAATCACCTCCAATTATCACAGTTAGCTTATTGTCGCTACAGAATCCCAGCAGAGTGTCAAAGAAGGCAAGAAAATTCGGAATGTTGCCATCAGGTGGACGATAAACTACAGAAACAAGCGTATTATCTGTCAGCAAAGACAGGATTTCATAATCACTAGAGATAGAGCAAAAACATGGTAACAATTCACAGTCCATGCCTTCTTTTATTAGTGCACACACACCTCCACCACGACTAGTGGTGCGATTTAAACAATAGGCATTGTAGGATGGCAAATGAAAAACGTCCCCTTCATCAGAATACCAAGTTTCAGTTAACATAATTACATCGAAAGGAATTTCAAACTGTCCAAAAAGACATTCGAGGTCAATGACTTTGTTCTTTGCAGAACGTACATTTAAATGGAAAGCCCGTAGGGAAATATTAGAACATGAGCTTAGGTGTTGTTTCAAATCAGTAAGTAGTAAATAAGGCGAATCCATCAAGTAATAACTGACGCGTCATAATCACGTAGGCAGAACTAGGAGTCAAGTGCGCGCAAATCATCTTCATTCTTGACGATATAAGAGCGCTCACCATCCTTTCGCCTGACAAAAAGCTTCCCGTTCCGGTGCCAGACATACAAGAATCCTTTCCCTTTCGCCCATTCTTTTGTCTTGGCCAGCAGCTCCCTGTTATACGTGGTCATGTTTTCGCTGACGTACGCGTTGATACCAGCGTTTCTCAGCCTAGCCCTCCTATCCAACCAGGCGTCCCTTGTGGTCTGCGATGCAAACTTGATAATGATTCCCGGAATTTTATCAGGCTTTGACGGTAATCTGTGGATAGCTGTGACGTCACTTTGAGACAGTTCGGGCATTTCCAACTTTTCTGCTATATTGTTCACTTTGCTTATCAAATCTTCACCTTCAGTTTTCGGGATGCCTTGGAATTCTAAGTTAAGCTTTCTGCTTCGCCACTCGAGGTCATTCACTTGGAGCTGCAGTTGTTTTAGCTTTGCCTCTTTTTTGCTTTGCTCGATTGCCTCGATGCGTTTTTTTAGGTCCTTTAGCTCACGGTCCTGTTCTTTCATGTGGCTTAGGATGCTATCATATTGATCAGACATTAGCTGAACCGACGTTTCGATTCCAACAACTGTCTCCTTTAAGGTCAGAAGGTCATCCAGTTTTCTGTTAATATTTGCTAACAGCACAGACATGTCTTCCCCGCATTTTTGTTTACCCCCCTTTTGTGACAGCCGGCAAGCTGGACATTTCCATGCATTACGGTACGCCTCCCCTTTCGTCTTCAGCGTCACTTCGGACACCCCCGCGCATGGCCCGGAGTGATACGAACACTCACATTCAGAACAAGAAATCGACAGTTCCTGATCGATTACCTCTTCCTGGCATTTTTGACACAAAGTTACAGCCATCTACGCGTGCAAACGCGTGACAAACAAAAACACACCCAGGCAGCAGCAGCGGCAGTGACAAGTGGAAAATTTAAGTATAGGAGGCAGTAACCAACCTGCAAGGGCGTACAGAAGAGATTAAATCCTCGTCCCGTCACTCGCCGCCGCTGCCGCCAGAATACCGCCGCCGCTGTAGTAGGCAGCTTTATAAGGCAGGATGGCAGGATCACGTGGATGTCTGCGGGTTCCAGCGCCGTCAGCGGGCCGATCCTTTTCCCTCGTTGCGACCAGCTCTTGCTGAATCGGCTGTAGCGATGGGGCTTGAAACAGCGGTCTGGCTGAGGCTGTGTAATCTTGCTAGTTGCAAATCACGCCGCCGCTGTAGTAGGCAGCTTTATAAGGCAGGATGGCAGGATCACGTGGATGTCTGCGGGTTCCAGCGCCGTCAGCGGGCCGATCCTTTTCCCTCGTTGTGACCAGCTCTTGCTGAATCGGCTGTAGCGATGGGGCTTGAAACAGCGGTCTGGCTGAGGCTGTGTAATCTTGCTAGTTGCAAATCACTGCAAGGGCGTACAGAAGAGATTAAATCCTCGTCCCGTCACTCGCCGCCGCTGCCGCCAGAATCATTTACTGCATCAAAAAAGTAATTGAAAAAATACCAGAAAGTAATTGATTACTTTTCATGTTACTTTTTTTTTTTTACTTTTTACTACGAAATTATGCATGCATACATATGTTCAAAGTGGTTACATTTTGTTTCTTTTTGTACTCACACCTTGTTAAGCTTCAACAGCAGTTCTAGGTCGAAGTTCTTGTCAGTCATGTTTCCACGATTCCTGGTGAATATATCTGCCACGACGTTGGAGGCCCTCTTGACGGATGAGCTTGTTGTAGCGCACAAACACTTTCCATACCAGTGCGTTGTACGCAAACAGGGGGTGGGGTCTTTGTCGTGTCTAAATGAGGTCGGTGCAGAACACAGTCACTTATGCCGTGGCGAACCCGGATCATAACAACCTGTACAATGGAAACGAGGCACTCTCGACAACTCGACAGTCAAAACGTCGCTGAGTGCGTTGACATTCTAATCCTTCTAATATCTTGGTGTCTTTTTTTGTATTTGTTTTGGGGGTCGAAAATTGTGTCCAATGTTGGCGCAACATAGACGAGTGACGCACGGGCAGACAGAGCAATTTTTTTTACATTAAAAAGCTCAACTCAATAATTTCAGCTCTTCCAGAAACATATAATTGTATACTTGTAACTTTACAGAAAAAAAGTAATTGAAGTGTTAAAAAGTTACAATAAAATGCAATTGATTACAAGTAATCAGTTACTTGCAGTAACTTGTTACGTACAAGTCTGATGCTAAGGAATACAATACCTTAGCATCAGTTTGTGAATTTAATTGCATGAATGGCTATTTCTAGCTGATTGGCTATTTCTAGCTAGGAGCTGAAATGATAGCACCATCCAAAGGTCCTCTCCAGCCAAGAGTCTGCTTACTCTGTTGTTTTAAGTATCACAAGTTGTTCAAAGGGCTGTCCAAACGGAACTTAGCAGGATGCCATGTTGCGACACAGCACCGCCATTAGCAGTCCACTTTCGTCTGAGTATCTTTTTTTGCCGGGGGGCAAGCTTCGTTTTGCTTCTGTCCTTGACGGCGGCCTGGAACGCGTTCATCACGTGGGTCTGGACAGCCACTCACATGCTCTGCTGGCTCTCATACAAGGCCTCCACTGTTGTTCAGGTGTAAGCCTCTCGAAAAGGAGAAAGTGAAGGATACGGAGGGCCAAGAGGCCTAACCTCTTTGGCCTTTCTTCCTTTATGACGGCGACCACGGGCTGCGCCAAAACAGATAGACAGGCACACCATTGGCAGGTCGCGTCTGATGTCAGTTGTGACAAGCACCAACGTCGCAGAAAAGCAGAGGAGGTGAGGGGGAATGCCATGCTGTTTGCGTGGTTGATGTCCAAACTGAAAAACATATGGGCGGACAGCAACTTTTACTTCTTATGCCGGTGCTGTGTCGCTTTTTGCCGTCTAGCGTGTTCCGTTCGGACGGCCCTTTCGACAACCAAATTGGATTGGTCTTTAGATTTCATCTTTTTACCTTGGCACTGAAGCATTTCAATTGGCTCTGGGCTTTTAGCTGCGGAAGGAGGATAGGTATTGTGTAGAAGAACATTGAAATGTCATTCTGGCTTAATTTTTTGGTTTGGTTCTTGAAAGTAAAAAAGCATTTTTGTCGCCACGAGCTCTTTACGTTACTTCCTCCTCCTCAACATCTTTTCTCCTGCCCAATGGCTCCAGGTATGCGGCCATCATTATTGCATTAAACGCATTTGTCTGCAAAGCAATAGGTGTGTGCCATTCCGGAGGCACAGTTGGCACAAAGCAATCCTTGACTAAAATCGAGTTGTTTCCCCATATGCTTGGTTTCATAACTCGGTATGCTAGGCTGCCTCAAAGAGTGGCAGCTGATTTTCCCTAGGAGACATGATCCTGAAGAAGCTAGGAAGTCTTTTGGCGAAATGTGTGCACCCAGTCTGAGGCTTCCAGGAGGTGCCTTTGCCGGTTATGACAGTATGATGAGATTGCATATCTGGGCTCGACTCTTCCTCACGATCCTCACGACATGCACATTTTTCTTAAAGCGGGGGTTTTCAAACTATCTTGAGGAGACCCTATCTGGTTTTGGCGCTGATGCGGTCAAGTCGTGCAGTAGCCTATGGACCTTGTAAACAAAAATCTACACACAAGGGAGTGTTTGTCTCAGACATCAGTGAGTGGCCCAGGTTTGCTCAAATAAACCGGAACAGCATTTTACTTAGTTAAGACTGCAAGTTCGGCCAGTTGGTTTTGATCCATACTGAGGTTTTACGCCAAACAGCACCGGGCCAAAAAGTGAGATGCATTGCTTGGTTCTGGAAACAGTTGAGGAAATCGGAGGCTCGGGGAACCCTTGAGGGTACTCCGGGGAAGGTTCCTAGGAACCCAGTTGGAGAACCCATGTCTTACGGCATTGATCAGTGTGCATTTGGCCAAGATTGGTTGTCGCTGAGGCCGGGGGAGGATGTCAGTGTTCGGGGCTCATGACGCAGGTGGTGCTAACCCTGCCCACGTCGTGGATCCGTGGCCCTGGCACTCCACTTCCGCAGCTGGACCTCCTGCTGCGCTTCCTCAAGCTCTACCAGCAGCACCTCTATAAGCTCTCCTCCACCGTGGGGGACCTCTCGGAGCTCCACGGGAATGCCAGGCAAGCACCGCTCGTTATCCGCCCTTTTAATCCCTCTCTGGGCCCGCTGCTGTTGTGCCTCTGAACTGAGCCAGTTCGGGGTGGGAGTTTGGGTGGGCAAAACGGGCGTTGCCTCAGTAAGCATTCAGTTAGTCATGACACAAGCCCGAGTCTGCGGGCAAGCAAAGGAGAACACACATGGGAGAAGTATCACACGCGGCTAAAATTTACTCAGCTCGAAAAGTGCTCGTCTATTTTTCACCAGCTCAATGGCACCCCGACTTTTTGTTCAGAAATGTTCAATTGATGGTAAGCGCTTGTTGCATCCAGTTCTTCCACATTGTGGAAGAACTGGAACTGTGAAACTAGAACTGCACCTTTTTGGCTGCAGTTCTAGTTTTTATCGAAGTTCGCAACTTTGGCTTTTTTTTTCTTTTAGGGACGTTGTTCTACTGGCTGTTGTGTTCTCCTCTTATTTTATTAAGAGTTTCGTTCAATGCTTAACGATGAGAGGCATCTCTATAAAGCACTTGCATTTTTTGCACTATTTATGAACTAGCGATAGCTTCTCACAGTTAATTGTCACCCCCCTTGAGTTACTGATAATCTTTTTTTTGTTTTTCATTTACCAGTTACTAACAGGATTCCATGTTTTCGAGTTTTTCCTTCTTTTTTTGTTTTAAATTCGGAGGGAAAGGGGGGGGGAGATTTATTGGGGTATATTTGTACCCATAGACTCAATGTTTTTCGATGTCAATCTGTGGTCTCGACAAAAAAATTGGCATGCATGTCGAAGAAAACAAGACACGGGCATGGGACTCCCTAACCTCTAGGGATGGTGACCCAAACACTTGAAAGACGTGAAGGAAATGAAAAAAAAGGTTGTCTTCTTCACCCACAGTGTATGAAGAAGTGAAAGTGATAACTGTACCTGGTTCCTGCAGTGAGGACAAAATAGGGTCGTCATGTGCCTGAGGGCGTCACATGACGAAACCGATTTGCTCGCATTGCGCGAATGGGCTACTGCTATCGCTTTCCCTTCTCCGCACATTGACGGGAAAACTTGCATCGGCACAGGTTTTCCCGGTGTCGAGCACTGAAGGGAGGGGATAACATTGACGTTTGGCTACGAACAGAGATGGAGACGCATGCAGAGAAACATGGCAAGGCTCTGCAGGGAAGGTGGGCGACGAGTTTTGGTAGTTTTATGTTTGGAGTTGCGTTCAAGATGTAGAGATGTTAGAGTGGAATTGAACGCGATGGAAGTTTCTAAAACCATCCAATATCACACGTAGCAACCGAATACTGCCACAGTGGGATTTCGTATAACGTGAGTAATGTTTGAAAACGCCTATTTTGAAGTTATCGTTAGTAGACGACAAGGAAGACGCTCCGCTGATGCTTCCTTTTTGTTGTGCCGTTATTGTTGAATCGTCGGGGCTCTTTCTTCGCGCGGTGCGGCCAATGGGAACACCCGACTCCTCTTTCTCCTCGCACCATGAGGGGAGAGGAAGGGTTTTTCCACTTATGCTGTGACGACTGACAACAAACGCCGACATCGAAATCCCTTCAAAGTGTCACCGGTGAAGTTATCACTTTAAAAAGAGTGCAGTTACATAAAAAGCAGCCTCATGGACAGTTTAGTGGGGGGTTGTGTTCAAGGTCAACGTAAAGTAAAGCTGTAGCTAAAGATCTATTTCTGTATAGCTTGGGTTTTTTTTGTTCAACACCAGCTCCACTTCAGCATTTTCTGTTTTTCCCGATTTCAATAAAACCGGCTCAGAAGCTACTTCTGGAGGTACATATACCGAAAACACGGACCCCTAGTTATGAACCACTGGGATGTCTTAGCTCAACTTTAGTGTCATCACTCCCTCCAGCATTTATAAATTACTTTTTCCCAGCTTACACGTGCGTGTAAAGTATGACACAAAAGAAAATTTGCAGTCCCAGGCACACTCTTTACAAAAGCACTGGCTTCGTAGCAGAGAAAACTTTTTGTTCTGGCATACAGAACCATTTGCTTGAGGTATTATCTCGATTGAGTTCCGCCCGTGTTGATCTGCCTGCACCCCTATGTACAATGGGCGACGCTCACTCTCTGCGTGCCCTTCTGTCCTACCATGTACAGAGTCTGATTTGATTGAAAGGAAAGCGCCGAATGAACAAGGACGAAGAAGGGGACAGAGAGATTTGATGACACGAAGCATAAAGAATAATTAACGAGAACCATGAATCTTCCTTGTTTTTTCCACTTTGCTAACTAGTGCTAATAGTAAGCACCCAAAAGGTGGAAAGTTAGGCTAGTTGGTACGATAGCATAAACACTCCACATTCATAAATCATCAGACAGACATCAATATTTCCTTACATGCACTGATTTTTTGCAAAAAGCGTGTTTATGAAGCTCTATCTCTCTTTGTAAACGCCTGCCCATTTATCTCTTTACAATGGATAGCCTACTTAGTCAGATATTCCAAGGGTTAAATGCAAAGCCTCCCAAGTAGCAAAATAGTAAAAGAAATTAACCGCCACGGCCAATGGCCACTTTGGTTGTGGACGTGTTGCAGGGACGCTGTAGCATCCCGGTGTGATAATCACACGCAGGAGAAAAGGGGAGTCCGGTTCCCCCCCCCCCCCTCCAGCATTCATTTGACAGTCCCCGCCCTCTTTGCAGAGAAAACCTTGAGGAGGTGAACAAGCTGGTGGCGTCACTCACTACGTCCACCGAACAGACCAAGTCCAAGGGAAAGAAGTGAAGTGTCCAGCCTTGTAATGGTATCTTTCTTGCGGGGCTGCGTGCGACGAGCTGACGACCTGACCGAAACAATTATTTTCCGGGAGACGGGGGCAAGACCCCAGACTGGCAACCCCGAAGACAGCTGGGATCTTTGGTTTGGCATGAGGCACCCCAGAAAAAAGGGAGGATCTCAACCTTTCGGAAAAGAACGTCTTTCCAAACATCCGGCCAAAGAAGAGAGGGCTTTCACTCGCTTGGACCGAGTACCTGGCATTCCTCAACTTCACACTGGACTGTGAGCCAAACTGGGAGTTTGGCTGCCTTCGTGGCCGTGTCGGTTGTCCTTGTGTGCACCTGGTGACTGAGCTTCCACTGACTTTTTTTTAATGCCTTCGGGGTTGTACTGTTTCCGTGTGTGTGTGTGTTTTTTTGTCTTCTGCATACAGAAACCACATTTGACATCTGAAATAAATCATTCTCACTGCAGATTAAAATGGCCGTCATTGGTGGGTACATCTGAGCAAGTGCCCACCCAAAAGTAGTAGATAATAAGAAAATGGGGGTGGGCCTTGTTAGGCCTGAGAGCAGAAAAACAGAAGGGGCATATGGTGCCTTGTTTGATCTGACAGAGCGCATAGGGGCACTATAGGGGTCTGGCTGAATCCCTAATTTCTAAAGCCTATCTCGCATCAAGCTTCACCGCTTTGCACTGGTGCACGCACTTAAAGCTTCAGCTCTTTGCGCCCCCGGAGAAGCAGCATGTGCGGAAGAACACCTTGGATAGCTCAGTATGCTCAGAAGGTTGCTGGGGTGAGCACTTAGTGTGTCCTTGGTACCGAGCGAGTGTAGAGCCCTCCTGCTCAACAGTGTACTTGAATTCCTGCTCCTGTTCTAACGTAGCTCTTTGATTCTAAGGCTATAAATATCGGGGTCAAAATTGTACAGAACCTAATCATTTTCTCCAAGATACTTTTCCAAAATTCGAAGCGCCTCATTGCAGCGTAATGCCACATTATGCATTCTGGGAAGCGATGGGAAGCATAATCTAGTATACGGTGCTCCGCTTCTGGCTCACAGGTTCCCAGAATGCAACGTGTGCGGTGACGGATTTCTGGAGCTATTAGTCTATTGAACGTAAGGTTATATTTCACGAAATGAATTTAAACGCAATAACTTCCGTTGCAGCTTGAATGCACTAAAATCAGCTCTCCTATATGTCCCATATAGGAGAGCTTTAGTAGATTGTTTCGATAACCTGATTGTTCGCCTGTGCTTTTGCATATGCATCATACTGTTATTGGAGGTATCGGATTATATCTGTCTCGGTACTATATTTGTTTCCTCTTGCTTGAACCAACTGCTAGCTGGCAGGAAGTTTTTTTTTTTTTTTTGATATAAAGTAAATAAATGGCTAAAACCTTGTAACAAAAAGTATTTTGTAAAACATTTTATTTTCTACGGAGTATTTCCAAACGCTATTCGGGAGTAAAAAAAAAAAAAAAGAGAGACCAGTGAATTGAGTGCAACAGACCCCTTGCAAAGATCCCAAAAGTACTCGGTATGTCCCTCCTATCGTCTTGCCTCCCGCTACCACGTGGCATACACGAGCAGGCACAGGTTACCATAGCAACAACGTTCGAGCACCCCACAGCCGAGTAACCGAGTTGGATCGTCGGGCGAGCGACAAGCGTACGGGGGAGCAGGTCTGGCCCTTTTTTTCATCCCTCTCCTTTGTAGTACCGCACCGCCTCTGTCGTCTGCTGCGCCTTCTGTGACACTGCAAATGTTAAGAAGTTACGTTGGGTTACATTACATTTTGGCAACGAGCCGAATTACAAGATATGTCAATGGCTCATTTCTTGTTTTTTTGTACTTTCTAAACTGCATTTGTTTCTTTTCTCATATAAAATACTGATCAAAAGCTATTTTCGTAACTAACGGAAACGGTTTGCGCCACTTATATTTTGTATTTCGAGTAAAAAATATCTTTAGCGGCTCTGATCAGTCGTGAGGCAGAAGCTGACCAGGACCGACAACATCATGATTTCGTCGCATGCCGGACGCATGTCGCATGTGTTCAGCACCACAGGGCACCTCCGTTGGAGGAGGAGGTTTCCGCGTCGTCCGGTTAAAATATGACTCACTAATATTTAGTTACTCTCTTCATTCCCTCTGGGTTGCCCAAACCAGAAGAGATATGGAAACCGCAAAGAAGGTAGATGCTTAAATAGGATTACAGGGTCCCGTTAAAGGTGGATTGATATGAAGTCCCTTAAGATTCACGCTTTCAAGTACCACAAACCATTGTTGTGGAAACGTGCAAGACGGGTCACTAGCGGGTGCTCTGCCTTAATTCGCTTCCAAGGGCCGCTCATTTCAGCGCTGCGCCTCCATTTGCTTCCAAGGGCCTCTCGAGATACAGGCTTCGTGCACTGGCGCACTTGGAGCCACTTGCAAGACAAACACAAACGTATCGAGGGGCTTTAGACTGATAGCGTAGCAAGTGCCACAGAGTGGATGCATCACGAAAAGGCACCAGGCCTTCTAGGAAGCTTGTTAACTGACTCTGATCCATGTTGGTAAAGGCCCATTCACACGCGACTCCTTAGAACCGAGCGCCTTAAAACCTCTTACGACGAGAGAACACACTGGCGCCATCTATGCGGTAACCCTGGAACTGCATTTCTCTAGATCGAAAATTTGGCGATATTTGCGATGTCAAATGTGCGTACTAATGAGAAATGTGTGTTTCTAACATTGACAAGTTTTTCAAGCCAAGGAAGTAAGATGCACGAAAGAAATAAAAAATATCTGTACGGGGACCGCCAAGTGTTCCACTGCTACCCGATAGGTGGTGCCACCGTGTCCTCTCGTAGTAAGAGTTTTTAAGTGGTTTCAAGGCACTCGGTTCTAAGGAGTCGCGAGTGTGTGAACGGGCATTTGCAGGTTAAAAGTTCAGGATAAGCACCTCCCACTTGTTTTCACTATAGCACAGTGAGTGCTGGAGAGGAGGTGACCTCCATAGCGTTCACTCTGCTGAGGTGGGAGGAGCTTCCCCTGTACTTTTAACCTCAGAGGAAAATTGGAACTCCCTCTCGCGTGGCTCCGGCCCAACCTCAACCCTGTCTCCTAGTGGGTCTGGTGTTGGAGTGACACTGGTGACACCAACAACATTCGACCAGAGGAAAATTGGCGAATCCCTTGCCAGATGGAGGAGGCAGGGGGCGCGAACCCCCTAGCTCTTCCTGGCAATCATCCCCACAGCATGATGATAGTTACAGAAATGCACTGGCCTCGACATTTTTGTTTGTTTTTTAGGCTAGGTGGCGCAAGCTACCGTCCGCTATTACGATTACAGTCGTTAATAGTTGTCCATCCATGGAACCTCCCCATGCTCCCCATCGCCCGATCGCCGCAGCTAGAGCACTATATAGCTCCTACGGAGCAGAGTAGCGCAATCCTTTGAACCCCGTGTTTCGCCGACAACATGGCCGACAGAGCAGCTAGGCGCGAGTCACGTGGTACTCAGGGTTCCAAGAGGCGGCCCGCCCTATGGGAGAATACATGGAGATCGACATAACACGGCTGATTAAAAAAATAACGGCGAGTTCACACTTTTCAAAACTAGCCTGTCGTGAAGTTAGTAAGGCGCTAAACACTTTATCAAAGTTTTAATAATATCGGATGCGTGTGCAAATTTTGAGAAGGCAATTTTCAGGGCAATGGCGTTTGAAGCAGACGATTTTTGCTCGCAGCGGAGATGGGCTTTTCGGGTTGGCCGGAGCGGGTCACGTGAATGGTGTGACGTCGCCGTGTCGTCTGCTGCATGATGCCGCTCAGGCAATTTTTAAAAAAAAGTTACGTCCTTGCATGGCACAAAACTTATCGCAAATTATTCTAAAATGTTTCATTATTATGTCAAAAATGATTGCCATTCCGTACATCCCCACAAAACTGAAGAAACAACGATTTTCTCACGTTCTCCATGCATTTCTGACCGCAGTTGGAACCTCCGGGCGTTCGCCGCTAGTCGCCGAGAGACGGCGTTCTAGATTGCGCTACTCTGCTCCGAAGGAGCTATATAGTGCTCTAGCCGCAGCCGCATCGCCGCTGCGGCGCTGTCGCGCAGTGGTGAAAAAAAGCCTCAAGCTGGCCAAGGCCAAGCCCAGACGAGCCGTATCGCAGTCGCGCAGCGCATGGTTTGTTGTTTTTTGGAAATTTGTTAGTGACATTTGACATGAGTGAAAGTTTTGACAGTTCAGCCTTACAGGTGTTGGAAAATGCGCTTATCGTGCCCAACAAGTTTAGTTACCTGCCCCTAAGAAGGTTGCACGTCTACATGCGAGGCGTAGCTTTGGGACAGAACAGGTTGGTGCTTTGGCCCTAAGCGCAAATCGGCGGCTTTGTCGCGCTTTTTCGGATTTGGCGGGTGCAAGTCTGGACATGACTCATACACCACCTTGGCGGCCGATCGGACCACCGCCAGTGCTGCTCGTATCGTCGCCGCGCGTCGGTTGTCTTCGTTCGTCTCGCCGCGGCACGTTCGCGTCTATGATCCGTTAGCGCGTTTCTCTCCGTTCATCCCGAAAGGCAACATGGCGCGAAAGATCGTCGAAGTCCAAGCGTCCGGAGACGCAGCGGCCGCCAGCGGTACGTATCATTTGCCCAAAGGGTGCACAGTGTCACCGCAACTTTGTTTTGTTGTCGCATGCGCAATATGCGTTGTTGGGGCACTGCAAGTGTCTTGGATGCTCGCACCGAGAACTTTTCTTGCACGTGCATGGCTGAGCTTTCCCCCATTTCACCTGTGGGTGATTGTACGGTTGTACGGCGATCTTTCTCCCTTCCACCATTGTCCCCCCGCCTTCTAGCAACCCCCATTTCAACGCCCTGGTGCCCCGCGGTAGTAAGTTTCGGCGGAGACCTCCTAGTACAGTTAGTCACGTTCTGAGTCAGTTTATTTTGGGGTCCATGCCCCCTGGGCGCCTGGCGTTTACAAGTTTGCGGGTGGGGGGTGGGAGGAGGAGGGGGGAGGGGGTAGACGGTGATTTCGCGGACATGATGCAACATGTTCTACCGCATCTTCAGTAATGGCGTGTGTTGATTAACAATCGACAGGTGTTTCTCGGAAGCGGCGCGTTGCCATCAGCGATTACTGTCGCTTTTCCGGTATCGCATTGTTTTCGGAGGATTGCAAGCGATAGTTGAGTGAGGTTTGTGCGCAATTTATTGATCGTAGAGAAATTGAGATCAGCCGATTTTTAATTCACTCGTCGGTTTTAGCAAATATTTACCTCTACTTTTTTTCTTTTTTTACTTTGCACTATCACACATTTTCATGGTGCTTGTTTTGTCTTAGTCGATTCTCTGCTTATTCGCAGTGTATTTTGTATGTTTTTATTTTACCTCGCACTAACCACGTCTTCTTTTTTTTTTCTTTTTTTTTTGCGTTTGCGCAAATGAATTTTGGTGACAGCTAGTATACTTTTATTCAGAATGGCCACAGAAAATTGTCGTTATATTCTTACATGTGGGAAAGTATGCATGTGTTCCTGTTAACGGTCTCTGTTCTGATGATCACCAAACTTGTTGCCATTTTGGCATTCTGAGTGTTGCTTGATTGTTTCAGAGCATGGGCCCCCGTCATTTTGCTTACCTTGTGAATTGGGAATGGCTGTTCAAGGGTCGCATCGGGACAACTTGACTTGTAGTGCTTCTGGGCCTAGGCATATATTCCCTTTAAATCGAGCAATAACTTGCACCCTATTGTTTCTTCGAGAGACAGGCTTCGCTCCGGAGGGGTCATCCCTTTCAGGAAATATGTGCACTGACTGGATCCTTGCATCCACATCGCATCCTTTGTTTCGCTGCATGTTTGCATTTCATGGGTTTACGTATGTTGGCTTAACCTTTGCTTGATTGCTCTTGTTTGTTCTAGTTGTTTGTCAGCATATTTCAGGGTGTGGCGACCAACGTGCCCCTGAGAGATGACCCTGAGAAAGCTTTGTCTTGGCAAAACGTTGGCTATTACCGCGGGGCTTTCTTTTCAATTTCTCGATATCCCAGGGTGTCTAGCGACCGGGAATTGTCAGGGAAATTTTAATTACCGGGAAAAATCAAGGAATTGTCAGGGATATTGTCAAAGAGCGAGCCCAGTCAGGGAAATTGAGCCGGAAACGCCATTGAGTGCCCTGAGCAAAGACTTGGGGGCAGAAAACTATGCAATAAATTCTGCTTAGAGCGGAGCGCGGGCTCTGTTCCCCTGATTTGGAGTGTGCTACCGGATGCAAAGAGAACATCCGACAAATCCTGTCCAAGCCTTGGATTGGATTGGATTTACAGTGTAACAGCAGGCTTGATCCAGTTAGAGCTACTAGGTTTAGTTACAAATGGGAAAGCCGCAGACCCCAATCCAATCCAAGCATTTAGCCGAAACTCTTCGAAAGTGTGCATCTGGCGGCTAGGCGCCATGATGCCGTTCGATTATTGATGTGTGTGGTTGAGCGTCGTGTTTTCATTGTGTTTCCGAAAGTGGCCTCTTCACTGACAATGTTGCCGGCAAGAAAGTGCTCGTTTAAACTAGACTGGACGAACCTGAATATTTTGGAAGATAAAAGGTGGATTAAGGAGCGAGCAAAATTATGCTCATAGTGCTGAATGCCAATGCCTTGTGTTGTAATCGTCTTATATATTTAACCACCTCTACAGTGGTCATAGAATTTCACCTTAAATTGTCAGGGAAAACCTGGGAAAGTCTGGGAATTTCAAAATAATAATTTGCTAGACATCCTGATACCAGCTTGGGCTTTTTCTGTTTTGCCTTCCTGTCTTGTTCGCACTCGCGAATTTGCGTACAAAATGGCGGTGCCAATGGCTTGAGAGGCCTCGGCACAGTGCTTTAGCCATGAGCAGCGTTGGCACCGCGCATAGCAGTCTCAGGATGTCATTGCCCTCCTGGCAGGTAGCGCAGGAGCGCCGCAACAGCCCCGGCCCAACCTGCTGCCGCTTCAGACGCACCTGAGCATTCCGCTGCTGCTGCCGACCCCGACCCGCGAAGAGACCCAAGAAGAGGGGCGCGTGCTGCTGAGCACCTTCATTGACTACCAAGTGGCGCAGGAGGGCATGGAGCACCCCGAGGCCTTGGGGGACATGGTGTACTCGCAAACCCTGGAGGGGGCCGAGGCAGCCCAGGCACCCCCCAGCCGCGAGGAGGTGCTTCTCGCACACCCCGTATACCGCCGCGTGGGCCGGGAGCTGCGGGACCTGGCGGAGCGCTTCTCGTACAGCCCCGAGCGCAGCCGGGTGCGCCAGGAGGCGGACGCCTTGGACCTGTCGACCCTGACCGGGGAGAACTTGAACAGCCTGATGCTGGAGCTGTTCCACGATGGCTTCAGCAGGGAGCGCCTGGTCACTTTCTTCTTCTTCTGCAGCGACCTGATCCTCAGGGCCCTGCGCACGTCCCTGGGCGCCTGCCTGCGTACGCAGGTAGTCCTCTGGGTCTGGGCCTTCCTCAGGGACAACGTCTGCGACTGGGTGCTTCAGAGGGGTGGCTGGGAGGTGGTGCTCACCAGCTACCTGCCTAGTCTTGTTGTGACCGCTGCAGGCGTCGCCGTCTGTGCCGCTGCCATTTTCTACATCTGGAAGAACTGGTGACTGTTTGGCCGGCGGCCACGCGCTTGTGTTAGAAGTGCCAAGGACGTATGACGGGTGACTCACCACCACTTTTGATCTCTTTTCGTGCGGGGCATTGTCGAACTGGTGCCTTCGAAGCCTCTCGGGGCCTTACTGCCGCAGGGCCAAGTGCAAGAAGTGTGCGGGCAACGGACACTGCCGTGCGGAGGGATTTTGGAGGCCACTTCGCTTAGTCCCCCCTTTTTTCCTCCCCCCCTCTCGCGCTTGTGTGGTGAGTGAGCATAGTCGCTTTTTTTTTTTATGCTTTCATATTTATGAGCTGCTTTATGCTTTACTTGAAGACTGATCTGTTTTGCCACTAATTTATGCGATGCTTTGAACTGTCTTTTTTGTTTGCTTAGATTTATTTTTCTTTGTATTCGTGTGAGTGCTACTTCAGGAAGTGTTCTTGTTGTGTGTCACATTTTATGCTCAATGTGAGAGGTCTATTTTCAGCGACATTTTTTAATAAGAGTTCTCTCAGAGTGCTGGTTTCACGTTACTCTTTAAATAACTGACAGAGAAGCATTGCTTTTCGAAAAAGAAAAAAAAAGTTTGGAAGGTTTCACATTTAATGGACCTCATTTCAAGCGTTCCAAGTTCTTGCACGCATTTGAGCGTTTAGATGCTAATTTAACTTTACCATTTTGAGTTTGTTTCAAGGTGTCCAACTGGCCATTATTTATCTTTGCAGTGTTTTTCTTGGCTGACAACATCTTGTTTACTGTTTGTGTGCATCAACTCTTGCCTTCACATCACAACACTTGCTCCTGACTGCCTCGCTTAGCGTGCTTCAGAACACTTTATGGCTCAAACTTGTTTTTAAAAATGATGCCTGCCTTTTAAGGTGATGACAGTCCTCGCCCATTCTTATCTGCTCATCGATATGATTGTGTGAGAGGAGGCTCGTCCCCAAATGTGCATGCTCAGAATTGATTTGCTCCATTGGATGTTCCTTTAACATCCTGCCACCATTATTATGAGGGGCAGTGCGGAGAAGACGATGGGGAGGTTTTTACAGGCCGAGCAGCGGGCCTGTCATGTGCCTTTGCTAGTTGCTCATGTTTTCACAGTATTGGGTCACATGGTTTGATGAAAGGAATGCAGGATTGGAGTTTTAAATCTGCCAGAATTCCAGTTCTGTCTACTCTGACACTGCCAGTTTATGTTTGTCTGTGGTGTGGAGTTTTGATGGAGTGACAACTTTTGTACCATACGAAATGTTATTTTTTTATATCCCTCAGATATGTGTTGCCAATAAACAAGAAACCTTGATACGTCCTTTTGGTGCTTTTTTTATCAATAAATGGAAGTTTTTTAAATCTTTATTTTGTTGCTTCTCTTTACGTTAACATGGCAGCAGGAGGGAATACGGGTTTGTAAACCCTTTTGCAGTGACTTAAGCTCCCAATGTAAATCACTGAACTTCATGAAGTTATAAGAAGGTAGAATCTGTTGTAAGTCCACAAAGCAATATTTTGTTGGGGAAGAGATTGCCACATGCCATGGCAGTGTCAGTTGAAACAATGTATCTTAAAACCTTATAAAAGCGAGCCTTTGGATAGGCAGGCTAGCTTTGTGAGGCTTTTAATAAAAATCTGGCTGATACAAACCTGCATGCTCGTTAATGCTTACTCTGTGCACTGGTATTAAGCTAAATAAGTTGGATGCCTGCATTTCTGGCTCTTGCAGTAGCATGGGCTCCTTTGTGCCCAACCTATATGAAAAGCGTTGTGCAATTTATACTGCTTGAGAGAGAGATTGCTTCTAAAAAATGTGGTTGGTTCTTCACACTACCATCTTCATTTATCCTGGAAGCTGTCGTACTGCGAGACTTTAAAGGCTCTTGACGCTTGCGAATCTCCTTTAGGATCTTTAAAATGTTCTAGTCGTTTCGAATGAGAAATAAAATTTCTGGGTAACTTTGGTAGGCTCGATCTACTTCAAGTTTTATCTTTCAAAAGCTGGAGTGGCAAAGTGCAAAAGTTTTGTGCTAATTTTAAAGTCAATATCTGCTTGTATTTAAGTAAAATACTGCTACCACTGCCAGTTCTATAGTGCAATTTAGCAAAACAGCTGGTTATATCAAAGCCCCATGATTTAGCGTTGCCTTCCAGTTGACACAATCCTGGTTTGTGCTCGTCTCAACTTTTACAAAGAGGCAGCTATTCCCTGAGAAGATGTACAATGTCGAGCATCCACCATCAGTGTGGTCTCAATTGCCTCAGCATTGTTCTTATTTTATTTCATTAAAATTGGCCCAGACATTCCAAATTGACTTTGGGCCCAGGTGGTCTTTCAACAACTTCTGATATCCATAGACTCTAATAAATAGTATTGATTGATTGTTGCATTCTTGCTTTGGTTCCTCTTTGCAGTGAGCTGGTGGCGGAGGAAACGTGGGTGTCGGTGCAGGCCATCTCCGAGAGGCTCGTCGCGGAACCGCTGACTGCCGCTGTGTGCCGGCTGTCGGCCGAGCTCTTCCGTTTCCTGCGGAATGCCTTCGCCGGAGACCCCGCAAACTCCGAAACCGCCCTTAGGTATTTCAGTGTGGGTAGAACAAGGGGAGCTGCTCTTCAACAGCCGTCAGACAAATGAGTCAACTTTTTCTTTAAAACTCCCACTATTTTGAGCCCATCCCCTTTTGGATCCCCTAGAAATTCGCTTTTGTAGCGTGGCCGTGTTAGCCTGTATCTAGGTTCAGCTTACATTTAAAAGGGGGGGGGGGGGGGGGGGGGCTAACTCCTGCCAATCGCACCTTAAGATCGCTGTCACACCGCTAACACATCGTACAAAAGACGGTTTGCAGACACGGTCTCGGGCATGTTTCGTCCCTGTATGATGGTCCTGTCATATCAGTCGTACAAAAGCTGTCTCAGAACACGTTTGAAGCATACGTGTATGTATGAAGCAGACATGCTTGTGTCGTCTACAGATAATTCTGTCATCATGTCTTTTGTATGATCTATGAGTAGTTTGACTGCAGCTTTATGGTTATGTAACCGACAGACATTCTTGTTGTGAATGCACTGCTCTATGGATCTTTGCTAGTTTCTAATTGGATTGTTTTGAGCATTTTCACACCAACTATGTAAATGCACAACCGCAAAATGCGGCGCCACCTAGGCCAAGGATGTGCAAATATTTCGCTGACTGGAGAGACCTTGATCGTCTTTATGGAACCTGGAGACGCATATTTGTGTTAAAACATAATTGGAAAGTATAGAAACGAGCAAGGAGAGAGCGTGTTGCGGTTGCGTGCTCTACTGAATGCATTGCATTTGGCTGGACGCTTTTCGGCTTTCCAAACGGCGTGTTAGGTTGCAGCAGATTGTGTTCGGCTTAGATGTTTCTCTGAAATGACCCCTTCCACTTGAACAGAGGTTTTCAATGACTCCGTTTCCATGTGCTGTCGTGCGCTGCTGATACGGCACTTTTTAATTCTAGTTCTGTTTGACTGAGCAGTTCTGGCCGGAAAGGAATGTGGAAGGTCTAATTACCCGTTTATTTCCTACCAAAGGCTGATGGTGGCGATTATGGAAAGCAGCTGCAGGGTACGGCCGGATGCCCTCCGGGCCACCTGCGAGGTGTGCTCTGCACAAGGAGAAAATCGAGAGGCGCTTCATGTGCAGCATCTCCAGACGTCTTATTATTAGATCAACCAATTACCGCGATCGATCGAGAAGTTGAAACCCGGTTTCTCGGCCCACAGAAATAAACTATGCCAAAAAGATGAAAATCCATGAGAATGCATTTTCTCAGTGATGAGAAAATGTGAGAGTTTGAACACATGACCTGACCTAAATCATAAAAAAAAAAAATAATACACAATTTTTCTATCAACTGATGTGCTCCTAAGGCTAATTAATATTCATCAAACTGAAATTTCAGATTGCAGGCTCCTGTACCATTTATTTCAGTCAAAACTTGTCAGTAACAAAGACAGTATTGTTTTCTTTCTTGCTGATGAGCTCCTTACTGAAATAAGTGCCCACAGTCTCAAATTTCAGTCCAATGAATATTAGGCTTAGGTGGACGTCGACTCGTAGAAAAAGTATTGTTTTTGTTAAGTATCTTTTGATTGAGGTAACATCTTGTGCTCAATCTTCTGCATTACACCACCGCTAGTAACGTCACACTCTCATGTAGTTTCAGCTTTCGGCGATGTCTACTTTCTTTGTGCAGGCCGAAAAGCTGGGTTTCCTTTTCTCGATCGATCCCAGTAGCTCAATAACCAAGAACCAAATGTGCGTCAGAGTGGAATGACAAGAAATGGCTAATGTATGAGAGGATACCTGTGCCCTGGTCTTTTGTTGACAGCCGCAGGAAGCTGCTGCAGAATGTGGACTACTTGATCAGAGCCCTGATGGAACAGCGCTCCAAAGAACCCACTGACGAAGGTGCGTGGCAATCGCATTCCCTCTGCAAGAAAGAGAAGCACAATCAGTAGCTAAGATGAAAAATGAGTTGTTGCATTGTGCAGATTAAAAGGGAGATCTTGAAGATACATTGGCGCTTTTCTAGAAAGGTGAAATTCTAACAACTGATCGATGCTCAGTGCAATATGCCAGCTGAGGAAAATTCTGTACGCTCATTTGACGCGAGAAAGGTCAAACCGTCCAAGTACTTTTCCCAGAAACAAACTGTGCTAAGGTGTCGGTGAGTTGGTTCATGCCTTTGAATTAGAGCTAAAAGAGCACTGAGAGAGCCAAGGTTGAATTGAAAAATGCGGACGAAATGAGTGCTTGTTGCCTCCAATCAAGACCCGTTCACGCTGTTGCGACCTCTTAAAACTGGGTTCCTTAAAACCTCTTACAACGAGAGGACACACTGGTGCCATCTATTGGGTAGCAGTGTAAACTTGGCGGTCCGGCATATTTTCTACTTCTCTCGCGCATTATTGATTCTTTCTTGGCTCGAAAAACTTTTGTCAACGTTATAAATGAGCCTTTCTCATAGGTATTACGCACATTTGACCTTGGAAATCCCGCAAAACCTTCGCTCTTCTGAAATGCAGTTCCTGGGTCACCGCATAGATGACGCCAGAATGCCAGTGTGTTCCCTCGTCCTAAGAAATTTTAAGCAACTTTAACAGATCTTGTCTCTCAGTCATACTCTATTGCAAGTGTGTGAACGGGCCTTTACTCTTCATCCTTGGCTGTTTTTGTGCTTTTTCAGTTGTCATTTGGAACAAACTGTGGCATGACTTTAATTTATCCAGATATGCTCTTTTTTAACAAAGAACTGAACAAATGCTACCTGAAACTTGGCATGCCCCTGTCTTGTTTCAATGTAGGCAGCCCTCAACAACAGTTCCTTCGACAAAGGAATTAAGTTGGTTAGTTGGTCAAACGGATAGAATAAAATGTGACTCATGCGAGGGTGTCTTTGTACGACGAGATTTTCGTTCAAATTCTGTCAACTTCAATTTCCGACACAAAAGTTTTAAATATGAAACATACTCATCGGTTGTTGAGCTTAACAGTCCCGCTAATTGAGCTATGTGTGGAGGCTTTCTTTTCCATCCCTTCGCTACGGATGCTTCACCTTAACACCTCATTAAGGAAACCATTGTCAGCGCTATTTTATGCCCTTGCTTCGTCTACGAGGCACGTATTAAAGTGTCGTCTCTATTGCAGAGGCCACTGTGGCCTTGCGGTGTGGACTGCAGTGCTTCGGCAACTTGGTGGCCAGCTGGGAAGCTGCCCGAGAGCTTGTCTGGAACCTCACTTTCCTGTGGAGCACGCCAATGTGAGAAGCTACTGTGTTTCTCCAGTGTGGGCAACCCTTTGCAGACAGTATCCAGAGCTGCAAAGTCACATAATTAAAAATATATTTAAGTTACCTTAATTAGTGACGATAAGTACATACATACTTTTCAACATTTAAATTTCTCAAACTGCAATTTATTTACATTCTCGGAGTGATTTGTAACTTACTTTGCTAACGGTTACTTCTTAAACACGCCGACAAATGCACATTATTATGGCCTCATACGACCACGGGACCGTATGCGGACGACGTGTTTGTGCGGTCATGCAACTCCTTTCTCTTCACAAAATTCGCACCAAGCTACAAGTCACCAGGAAACAGAAGTCGTTTACGGTGTTGCGTCGGGATTAGCGAAGGCGCGGAGAACGGCCGCAGAGTTTATTCTGCGAGCGTAGCATCTGCGGCACATCCGGCGTGTCCCAGCGCCACCTGGCTACCCGTCTACTCTTTTTTCAGCTTATCAGCGCATCATGCTGCCTCGTTTGTCACTGTGTGGTCTTTCATGCGGTTCTATACGTATCATTGGGTATCCCTCAGGGATCAGTGCTGGGTCCCGTTTTGTTCCTAAGCTACATAAATGATATTGCAAATAAGCTGGGCACTAACCTGACAGTTCACCTGTTTGCCGACGATTGTTTAATTTATCCAAGACTCTCAAGTCAAGGGGACCAGGTCAAATTGAATGCAGCATTAAAAGTTATTAGCACCTGGCATGTGCAATGGAAAATGAATATCAACTTAAAAAAAAAAAGTGTTTGCAAGGATAAAAACAAAACTAAAAACATATTATTGTTTGATTATGCATTTGATGGTGCACTGTTGATGCATGGAGGTCACTTCAAATATTTGGGACTTGCTATAACTGAAGATCTAAACTGGAAACTGCATATAAACAATCTTTGCTATTCAGCTGAGAGAAAACAGAAACTAAAGCTCGCACCCTGAGAAGTTAAATTAACTGCCTATTTGACCCCAGTACGTCCCATATTGGGGTATGCATGTGTAGTATGGGACTGATTTAGACAGTACCAAATCGACAGTATTGAACGGGTTCGAAGAAGAGAAGCAAGGGTTATATTGTCAAAATACAGAACAACAGACTCTGTTAGTGAAATGCTAAAGATATTTAACTTGCCACATCTTAAAAATAGACAAAAAATAGCTAGGTTCAAAATTTTTTATTCAATGCATCGAAATCTTTGCAGTTTTCACGCCCAACGCTACTTAAAGCCACAAACATCTCGTCCAATCAGAAGCAGCCATCCAGGTCAAATCACATGCTTAATGACACGGATAAACAGATTTAAATATTCATTCTTTCCACGAGCCATAGAGGACTGGAACTTTCTTACCTGTGATATAGTGAAAATGTATTCTCTAAACCAATTTGAAAACAATGTGATCGCCTGCATAGCGTCATACAGTGCAGGCTAGACTTAATACTGTTTTTTTTTTTTTTGCATGTTTGAGTGTGTTATTTTTTTTCGATTTATTTCAAGTTGTGAGCAGTGTGTTTGTGCTTGGCTAGATTGTGTGTTAAACATTTTTTTTAGGCCTTATTGCGGGTTGTGTATCTAAATTCTCGCGCACCTGGCCAAACCATTGACCCAATATGTATATTTTGTTTTCTGTGGTATTGAGTGCTAAAACTCCATCCTGTATCGGCTCCTCTGGGCTAACAGTATCAACAAACAAAAACAAAGCGTGCGTGCGTGTGGCTGCAGCTACCCAGCCCTGCTGTCCAGCGACGACGCCACCCTGAGGATGTACGCCAGCATGTTGCTGCACGGCTGCCTCCTCAAGGGGGCGCTGCTGCGGCTTTTCTTCTGGTCCCCGTGCACGGCCGAAGTGGTCACGTGCCTGACCCGGATGATGGCTGACGTCGAGTCCGAATGGAGGTGAGCCGTCTCTCGTCCCCCACTGGACTCGCCCCACGTGAGGCGTAACCTACGCCCGATCGCCGTAACATGGCCCCTAAAGGCCCATTCATGCACTTGCATTCACTTTCTACGGAGTTCATGCAACATCTCGTGACGAGGGAACACGGTGGTGCCATCTATGAGGTGACTCCGGAACTGAATTTTACTAGAGCGAAGGTTTGGCAGTATTTGCAACAATGAAATATACATACTATCTATAAAAAATAGTAATTTATAACATTGTCAGAGGTTTTTCGAGCCAATAAAAAAATAATGAAATAGGAAATATCCCGAAATAATGAATGATCCGCTCAATAGATGTGCTCTCTCGTCGTAAGACGTTTTAAGGCATGTAAGCAGCTACAATTGTGTGAACGAGCCTTAACTGTGCCTTTACCGCAGGAAAAAGGCTCTTATGGAGTGGTCTCAGTAAAAAATATTATGTAAGCTCGATCATGCTGACTAAGAATGTGAGATCGCACTACACGACTGGGAAGGCCGTGAATACACGCCGTGAGATTGCACTACACGACTGGGAAGGCCGTGAATAGTGCCGTGCGAATTGGCTCGCTCTTGTGTGGTCCGTACCACCGACCTGGATAACTCAGTTGTAACAAAGAAAAGAAGAAATAAACATAGCTCAGTCAGCAAAGCACTTTGCTCACAACCTCAAGGAGGTGAGTTCAAATTTTGCCGGGTGACCGAAGTCTTTTTATATGGTTTTTCGTTACAACCGACCGCTACAGCCGGCTGTTACAGCCAAACATTACGGAACTCCTTGGAAATCGCCTGATAAAATGCACCTTGCGTTAAAATAGTTTAGTCGCAAATTTCGCTACTAGATGTGCCAAAGAATAGTACCAAAATGTAGCTAAAAGAACTTTCTTAAAAAAAAATGTAAATGCCAAATAAATTGTTTATTATATAGCGCAAAAAAAATTAGACTTTTACAAATCTGTAATGTGAAATTAGAGTGCAGCTCTAGAGAAGGAGAGGAAGGTATGCCCCTCCTCCTCCTCCTGCGTCGGCGACGCCGCGAAATGCCGAAACGGGCGCATAAGAGCTGCGCTTTAAAAAAATGCAATGTCAAATTTTGTGTAGTCAATGCAGAAGTTTTCATTTGGTTCGATGTGCCTTGCAAAGTATTAAGAGTCATTAGAAATATGCATTTTGTACTTTACTTTTCTGGAAACAAATCCTACAAGTGTGAACAGTTCTCGTGCAAGACTCCTTGTTCTGCAAAAAAAAAAAAAGATATTTCTCGCCCTCAGTGTGCAAAGAGACGAAAGCAATAGCTGTAGCACGGTCGCGCAGTGTGGGTGGAATGGTGCCGTCACGCAAATGAGGACAGACGTGCGACGTGGTTAATTCTCATAGCCATCGTGGTTAGCGTCTTGGATGCCATTGATGGCTGCCACCAATGCTTGGTGATCTGTGAAGTAAGTGGGTAAGCACGGTGGAAGTTTCTAAAACCATCCAACATTACACGTAGCAACTGGATACTGCTAAAATGGGATTTCTCATAACGCAAGCCATGTTTGAAAACAAATCTTTCAAGCAGACAACACAGAAGACTCTCCTTTCGTCGCGTCATTACTGGCGGGATGCCGGGACGGCCCAAGGGGAAATCTTGACTACCCAGACCTCGCACCAAGAGCGGAGAGAAGGGTTTTTTCGTAGCGACAACAGCAAAGGATGAGGTAAAAATTTCTGAAAAGCGTCGCTCGTAAAGGTATTGCTTTAAAAGTTAGCCCCCGTGAGAACTGTACAAATATTCACCAAAGCCCCGACTGAAGTGTTTTGTTCTGTGTTGAGGCGTTCTGCCAAGGTTGGGACCAGGCCGCCTTTTCCAAGAAAACTCCAATCGTTTTGCTGCTAATGGCACAAAATCATGTGACTATGAGGTTGACATGCTGCAGATGAAAAATAATGTGTTTGGAACATGCCCGGTATGTCTACAGCTCACAGAGGTAGTAAATGCACTCGGTGCACAAAACAAAACATACTGATAGGCACCTGCAAATAATCCCGGCTGGTTCGACCCACTGCCACAATCGAAACTAAAATCCAATGAATGAATGTCATCTTTTGACTTACTACTGCCACTTTCATCCACGAAGTTAATTGCATATGCACCGGAATCACGAGTCAGATGATGGATGCCATGATTGATGCGACTGCTCACGATTCTGTAACTTTTAAGTTCTCGTGAAATACACCCTCGTGGAAAAGCGAAAACCAAAACCTAAACTCGAAGGAGAGTTCCTTCATGATATCCTAGACGGCTCCAGGTGTCTAAAAATGGCACTGAACGCGTAGAAATAAGGGTTTGAAATCCATCTATCAAATTGCTCGATTTGAATAGGCGTGGTAAGTTGAGAGTTGACGTTTGCTCAATCTGGCATGACAGGGCCGACTTGCTAGGAACAACATCTTATCTAAGATTGCGTGAAGAAAAACCTGCCAAGCTAGGCACACAAGAACGCTTGAGACTCAATTCCCGTGCCATTCAGCTCGTGTGCTAGCTTTGGCAGTGCTTTCTTTCACACAGTCTTAGCTAAGACGCTGTTTGTAGCAAGCTGACCTAGAATTTTTCTCGAAGGTATATTCCAGTGATAAGAAGTACACTTTCAAGTTTAAAACTCGGATGGGCAATATGAACACTGTTCCACAGATATTTTGTAGGACGAAAGCTTTATAGGCTAGGTTACATTTTTAGAAAGTTGCGCACTGGAGTTGATAGAGATGGGGCTGACTTTGTTCCATGGAATAAATCCGGTAGCGGTTTCCCGGTAACTCCAGAACCCTCCGTTTATTTGTTTGTAATGTTTAGTTGTAGCTGTTAAAACAGTGCTGTTTGTTTGAAAACATTGTTTGGGAAATTTAAGAACAAGGAACACAGTGGAAGGACCACTGGCATTGACATTAGTCCTTCGAATTACCCTTCTCTCTCGCATGCGATCGTCTCGCCAGCACGACACTGGGTCCGTAGTGCATAATTTCGGGAGGCTGAAGTGGCTATTGACTGACATCTTCTGTTTTGTTGCTTCTGGGGTTCATGCTTCCTTCGTGTTTACGATTCAACAAGTGGACTAAAAGGATCTTTTCTCGCCTAAAGACAATTTTTATTGCTTTTGTTTTGTTATAGGGCAGAACAATCCCATCAAGGGGGGGGGGGGGGGCTAGTTGGTAGTTGTGAAGGAAAAAGAATGTGAACCTCATAAATACATGTTTTGGAAAATCACCACGTGTACATAAAAGCTTTGGCCCAGTCCATGTTTTATGAGCGTCAGGAAGCATTTATTGCGAGCGCTAGTTGTCGCAAGCGAAGAAGTTGTTTTACGGTCCTTTCGACGCCTCTTTCATTGCAGCCTGTTCTTGCTCGAGATGTTTTTGACGCACGAGAACTCGCCAGTCATCTTCGGGAAGCTGCCCCGGCAGGCACGGTAAGGGCGAGCGACAATAGAGCTCGGGAAGGGTGGTCCCCATGTCATGGCGTGTGGAATGCACCTCTAACTGCTGGGTTTACTGCAAACTGCTGGGTTCACTGAATCTTAGAAAAAGGTCCCTTGATTTTTGTCTGATCACGTCGTAGAAGTGTCACATTGTCGCTGGCCGCAATCCCGGCGGTGTCACAGTAACCCTTGGTGGATGTGGCGGATGCCCGTTCTGATGCGGGTCGCTCTCCAGCTTGGCAGCCTACGGAAGTTTTGCTATACAGGATTAATGTAATGGTATAGAAAGAAAGTTCCCACGCATTCCGACCGCTTTGGAACGGTGGAGCATAGATGCGGACATTGGTGGTCATGGTCCTGACGGATCCAGCACACTGGCGACACTTTGGTGTCCCCAAAGAAGCTGGCAAACATCACTTGCAAGGCCTGTATGTATTGTTTTTTTAGCTTCATTTTGTATTTACTTAGTAAAAGACACCGACGTCACGCGTCATATAAAAATTAATTGAGTCGACAGGGGCTCAAACCATAGAGTTATTATAATGTACGCTAGAGGTTCAAGTGGCGCTAGTGTGCTGACGCAAATTGAAGCAGACAGCAACCAGTCGAAAATTGACTTCCGGTAATGCATTTCTATGGGAAAAAGTGAGTGCATTTTCACTCTGCGCTCGATCATAAGCGCAAATATCCCGAATAATTCGTATGTACTAGGTAGCTTGGAACATTTCTCAGTCAGGCCGACGAAATAATTGGTCAGTTACGGTGTTTTTCTTTCAAATTCATCGCATTAAAAACGGTGCTAAAACAGCTTCGTGCGTGTATTTATGTGCACTGTCGGACACTGTTAGCGCGAACACGACGTCGGCGCTTTTCAGCGTGGGGGATATACGTGCCAAACAAACGAAGAACATCTGGAAATTAAGAAAGACGGCAAGAACTACGCAGTAACACCGGATCAGTAACTACACGTGCATATACGATCAAAATTTATTGAAGGCGACATAATCTATTCCTATTTTATATAAGTAAGTACCGTTTTATTCTTTCTGCTCTGAGCGAAGCTGCTTGTTCTACGTTCAAAATATCACTCGCACGCTCAAAATCTTTGAGAACAAGTGCCCGATAAAAGCTGCCCGGCAGAGAAAACAATACGAAGAGACAACTTTTATAGCCCACGGACTTTATTCTCTACGTTTTGAATGTTTTTATCCGCTCATGCACGACGGGGTCATTTTTATATAGTGACAGGACTGGCATATTATCAATATATAAGCGTCACCGGATTGCTGGCGAGCCTTGAACACGCTTTACATTCCTTTCTTTTGTAATTTTGCTTCGAATCGTCGCTTGTTTTTACACACCTGCTGCGGAACACCCGTTTGAGACTGAAATGTAGCGAAGTTAAACATCGGTCACTGATGAAGAAAAATGCGCTAACTAAAGCAATTACACTTTTACAGTGTTAATCAAGGTACATACTATTCGGTACGACCCAAATAACCGAAGTGTTCCGTGTTATTTTCTGGCGAAGAGACAAAATGCACACGCGCTTTCCCATAGGAATACACAGGAAGACTGGAAAAGTAGACTGGTTGCTGTCTGCTTCAATTTGCGTCACGGAAGTCGCATAGACACTAGCGCCAGTTGAACCTCTAGCGTACATTATAATAACTCTATGGCTCAAACAACTACAAGTCGTTGCAGCAAACGAGCACGCCCAACCTTTTGTCTGCTTTCTTCCTCCACTTTTTGTCGCTCGCTTTCTCATTTTGTTTTTTTCGAGACCACCGATGTCGGCATTTACGATTTTCCGCATTCTGCTCCCGTCTTGACCCCCCCGTTTCGGCAGCAGGGGTTGGTATGTCGCAACGACAGCGGTGCTTACATTCTTTTGTGAATGTTTCCTGAAGTTCTTGACCCAACCAACGGGATCGCGACATCGCGACACTTCCGCTTTTGCTACGTCATTTGTTGCCAGTTTGGGACCACTTTGGATGCATGGGGGGGATAGGCCGCTAAACACGCAGGTCAGAGACTCGTTCTAGGTGCCACACCCACGTTGGTCTCGGGTACTGACACGCCTTACTGTCCCCCTCCGCTCGTGGCAGCTGGGTGGTACTCGACGTCGCCGTGGAACAGGTGCAGAAGAAGGACGGCCAGGCGGTGCATGCCGACTTCTTGGACCACCTATGTGCCTTCCTGCAGAGGGAGTTTGAGGACGTCGTGGCCGTGCCCCACTGCATCGAGGAAGGGAAGCTGGTGAGAGGACATTCTGAGACACATATGCGCCTTTCGGTCGTCGCCAGTGTTGTTAACCCCTTGCCTACCAACAACTAGTGTCACTCGTGCCATTCCTTAAGGACCATAAAGCCCGACCACGAGTGTGACTCGCGTTTCGGTTTCGGTGCTTGTTTAGTGTGCTCTCAGGCAGGTGGCAGAACCACCCCTGTTGCTCCATTTTCCTTGGGTAGTTTGCTCGTTTGTTTTGCTGTTTGACAGAGAGAAAGCGCTTCATTTAGCTGAGGAAGAAAAAAGCAGTCGCTCGTGAGCGTTCACGCTAAGACAATATGGTTTTGGCACGGAGGTCCGCTTTAGCATTCAAAGAGATACAAAACCTTCTTTTTAAAAAGGATTAATGCTCGGGCGTACCTGACGACAAATCCTTCAGCCTTTCCGATTTTTAGGAATCGGACAATCATTTTATGTGAAGTGACAGAAGTGATGACAACTATGTGAATCCTGCAAGCATTCCATCAACTTCGGCATCTGCATGTCAGTGGGACTCAGACCAGGAGTCCTGATTTAGAGCAAGATTATGACGCCTGGAAGTCGAGGAAATGTTTTTGTCCTTTTTAATGCAAAATGCCCGTTTAAATAAAAATATTTCTGTACGTTCCTTGAAAAAAAAAGAAGATTGAGTAGGTGAGGTTTTTTTTTTTCTTTAACGAAGTTTCCAGAACGCGCCCTAAAAGTTGTTATTTTTGGTGAAAAGTCACTAAAATGATACTGATAGTGATGTACCTTCCTGGTAATCTTTTCCTGCATTTCTAATATTGTGTTTCCTTCGCTTTTTGATTATATGTGACAACCGCGTCAAGAAGTCTCGCGCTATGCTAGGCACATGAGAAAGCCTTTTGATGAGCTTATTCCGTGAGGAATTTAAGTAGCGATAAATGCGCCAATGCATGCGGGGAGTTGATGCGCACCCTTTCGTAAAATAAAGATTTATTGTCAGTCAATCAACCTGACGAAGCACTTGGAATTTGTTGGCAGAGCACTGCACTGTGCCACTTGTAGCACCAGTCTCCTTACGCACATGAGCTCATGTATGAGCTCATGAGCCTTCCTTGCCACTCTTCACAAATAGCTATCATTTTGAGGATTTTCCTTGCTGTTGAATAAGTTCCTGAAAAAATTGCCAAGACTCTGAAGAGAAAGAGATGTCATTTAAGAAAATTAAAAAGTCACTCAATTTAGCGACTTAGTAGCTAAGTTAAAAACACTGTCCTGTGCCGGCCGACCACCTGGGGGTTGGAAGATGCTAGAACGTCGTTAGTTATTTCTTTGTCGCAATCTGTTTTCGAGTATGGAAATCATTCGCTCACTCGGCAAAATACCGGGCAGCAGATGAGAAAAAATAGTCAGTCTTCTGCACCACGAAAATAAACTGTACATTGCTGGAATCTCAGACTCTGCCGGACTGTAGGGCTAGAGGAAGAGATAGGACGGCAAAGTTTGAGATTTCTTTTTAGTAGAAAAAAACTTAGTAGCGAAAAATAGCCTTTTTTTCCTATGAGAACGTGCAGTTGGCAGCATAAGCGGATGGAGTGGTGGCATTCGAGATTGCCATGTTCAAAGCTCTCCTCCGGCTGTTGCGCTTGTTGGGTGGGGGAGACTGGTATTGAGCAAAATTGCTCGCATGATTGGTTGCTCCAGTTGCCGGAACGGGACCCGTGCACTTGGGGCACCGTGTTCGCTCCAGTTTGACAGAGTACGCGAGCAGTGTTGTTTCAGCAAGTGTCGCAGCAGAGTGCTAGGGAAGCAGTATATAAACAGGCTCCTTTTGCTGGGCAGCCGAGCGATTGAACCGGCCGGAGAGCTCTGCCTACCAGCCATCTCGGAGGCCATGATGGAGTGTGTCTCTTTTCCTCTGTATCTCTCTGATGCAGAGGAAAACAGGAAATGAAACAGAAGCAGTGTAAAACTACCTCTCAGCTGGCAATTTGTTTCCTTCATTCTCATCATCATTCATTTTCTGCAGGTAATATTTTCTTCTCTGTTCTCATTGTCACATGTTGGTCCTGGGACGACTGTTCTCTGGCATGTTTCCCTTTTTATTAGAGCGCATCTCTTAGGGGCCCGTTCCCGGCTTGAGCGGCGTCGCCGTCGGCGTCGGCGTAACCAAGGTCACCCCAAGGTCACGCGACCCCCAAGGTCATCCCAAGGTCATTCAAATGTCACGTGACCCCTCCCCCAGGGTCACGTGACCCCCCCCCCCCCCCCCCCCCCCGAGGTCACGTGACCACCCCCCAGGGTCACGTGACCCCCCCGCCGAGGTCACGTGACCTCCCCGATGACGTCATCGTCACTGATGACGTCACCGGCATCCGCATCGTCATCATCACTGATTACGTCATCAGTGACGTCACCGGCATCCGCATCGTCATCGTCATCATCACTGATGACGTCATCAGTGACATCACTGATGACGTCATCAGTGACATCACTGATGACCTCACCGGCATCCGCATCGTCATCGTCATCGTCACTGATGACGTCACCAGCATCCGCATCGTCATCGTCATCATCACGGATTACGTCATCAGTGACGTCACTGATGACGTCACCGACATCGTTATCGTCATCATCGCTGATGACGTCATCGGAGTCCGCATCGTCATCGTCACTGATGACGTCATCAGTGACATCATTGATGACCTCACCGGCATCCGCATCGTCATCGTCATCGTCACTGATGACCTCACCGGCATCCACATCGTCATCGTCATCATCACTGACGACGTCATCAGTGACGTCACTGATGACGTCACCGGCATTTGCATCGTCATCGTCATCATCACGGATGACGTCATCAGTGACGTCACTGATGACATCATCGGCATCGTCACGTGACCCCCAACGTCACGTGACCCCCCCCCGCCAGGTCACTTCACCCCTCAGTACCCTTCCCTCCTCCTCCTCAAGAGCTGCGCTCTAATTCGGTGTTACAGGGAGTTGTAAACGGCTTTCACTTTTTTGCTCTCTCTCTGATAGCATCTTGCACGGCACCGCAGGAGCCGATCCAGATCAGCAAGATGCTGAACGTGCTGTGCGAGGCGTCTTGCAATGAGAACTTCTCTCAGCTGATCGAACCGAAGCAGGGGCTGCTGAAGGCGACATTAGGTTTGTCACGTTTGCACCACAAAATGGGCTCTACACGAGCATAGTGCCTGCATGCAGATCAGTGCTAGCTTGCTGTTGTGATTCGGACAATAGAGCGTTCGCAAAGAAGAAAATTAATCTAGCATGAGCAGTAACATCTAGATACTATACTCCGTTTCACTTTAAGTGTGAGCGTAGCACAAGCTACAAGAACGAGTTCCGGGCTTTCAGCGTCCCTGCCAATCACGCGCGCTCGCGCACTGCAAGCACTTTTCAGGGCCACATGCTCGCACTTGTGGCATCGGCTGCATCTGGACTTAAGCTGAAACAGAGTGTATATGTTTATTGTCCTTGCTAATTTGCAAGTGTTGAGTGCTGAGCTGATCACAAAACTTTGAGTTTGAATAGAAGAAGAAAGAGTTGGGACAAGCTTTCTGGTAATGCAAGTTCGTCTGCTCCTCAAGCAAAGGTTGCAGTGACGTCAGAACGCCGAGCTCCGATTGGCTCAGATGGGGGGATAGTTGATAGAGCTCAATGCCAGTTGCCTTGAGGAACCGAGTATTGAGTAAGGCAACAAAAAAATGGGACAGTCTTCCAAATTTATGTCTGCCTGTTTTTTTGCTAACTCCCCTGAAAATAAAGAATGTTTCAAGGCAGGGGTTCTCAAACTTTTTGGTCTCACGGAACCCCAGGAAGCCTCAAAGACTGCCGCGGAACCCTCCCTCCCCCCTCCATATTTGCCGACCGAGAAGCAACAGATGCACAATTGTAGGATATTTTGCTTGTGTTGCTTCCCATATATCCCCACCATATCAATCGCGATGTCAGTACAAAGTGAGATGAAGGCGCTTTACATGGTCCTGCCGCGCAGCCTGCGGCATGGGGGGGGGGGGGGGGGTTGCAATTCGGGTGTTTGCGGAACCCATGAGGCCAGCTCGTGGAACCCCTGTGTTCCCCGGAACCCAGTTTGAGAACCCCTATTTTAAGGTATAGATGTCTAGGGAGCAGAACTGCATAATTACTTGTTGAAAGTATTGAGGTTACCATAATTGGTGATGATATCAATGAGTAACTACCTACTTCTTAACTTGTAATGAAATACACCCTTTCAGATATCCAGGCCTTATACGGGCTCAGATAGCAGTGTAACTTTTGCCGTATTAATAGACCTATTGCTATATTACCCAGGCATCAAGGAGAATGCAGGGATTGGTGTTCCATGCGCCGCACGTGCTGGCCTCAGCAGTAGTAACTTTTCTAAAGCAAATACCTAAAACAAATGGCATCTTGCACGCGCGTTCGTCAACGCTTTATTTTGGTTATTTACTTGGAATCTTTTATACGGGGAAACGTGCACGTGGAACACTAATCCCTGCATTCCCACAGCAATAGAATGGTCTATTGCTGTGGGGAAACTGTTGTATTTCATTGGGCAGCATCTCTTTCATGCTTCTCCGGCCGACAAAATTGTGTCTTTCACCGTATAGGCCTTTTTCAAGTTTTGATAGTATGGTACGAAAGAAACACTTAATGAATATGAAGCATCAATAAATCACTCGGTAAAATTCTCTATGTCAAGGGACTTTCAAGTTGAGTGTTTGCCAACAGATTGATTAAGGGGGAACACTACCCAAAAAAGTGAATTTTTGAACCACTTGTCTGATTTAAATTATATTTACAGGGCTTGTTTCTGTTGATGTTGAGAACAGTTCTGCCAATTTTTGTTAACCTGGGTGAAGTACAAAAAAAATTGCAAACGTTCAAAGACGAAAGTGGGCGTGTCTGCGTAGGAAACTTATTGTTTTGAAATCACTTATAAATTTGTCGTTTTCATGTGTTACATTGCATTAGGACAGTTCAGAGCAGATAACTATGTAGCTATATTTCTATGTTATACCATCTTTCATGACAAAAAAGCCACATAAACACAAATACAGTTTTTTAGATTTCCATTCTTTGTCCAAACTTTTAGTTCTTGAGCATGAGAAATGACAAAAATAAAAAATACAAGCTCATAGTTATCTTCCCCTTAAAATTTCACCCCAGAAAAACTTAAAAAAAAAAAAAAGTTATGTAATAACAAAACAATAGTTTTCCTAAAGTGAAATTTATGCCAAAAAGTGGAATGGAGAAAAATGCGTTCAAAGTGCTCCAACCTCTACCTTTTCTTTAGCATCGGTGGACTGAAAATAATTTATAAAAAATTAACTATGCAGTGTGAACGTAGAAAGATTATTACATTAATATGTTTAATATCGATGATATACGTCAAAGTGACGTGATGTGGCAAAGACTCAAAACATTGCTTAACTACAAACCACAGGTTTCTATGCCAGTTGAAATTAACATAGATGGTTGTATAATATCGGGGATGGATATGGTGAATGCTTTTAATAACTATTTTGTAAATCATACCACATCTCCTGTTTCTACTACTACTGTAAATAATGCACTTCAGTGCATGCCTTCACCCTTGCCTAATTCTATATTTCTTTTTCCTACTGATGTATCCAAAGTCTATAATATATTTATGAGTCTAAACAATAGTAGAAGTATTGATGCATACAATATGCAAATGAAGCCAGCAAAGTATGTTCTAGATATCCTAGCACCATACCTAACTTATATATTCAATCTTGCACTTGAGTGCGGTGAGTTTCCTATCAAAATGCAGATTGCCAAAGTTAGTGTATTGCATAAAGGTGGTGATTTAAATAATATTAACAATTTTAGACCAATTTCCATACTTCCAGTATTTTCTAAGCCACTCGAAAAAATCGTTTCAAATAGAATTGTCTCTCATCTTGAGAAATACCTTTTAATTACTAATTCTCAATTTGGTTTCCGTAAAAGTTATTCAACTGAGTTAGCATTACTAAAACAAAAAGAAATAATATTAAGAGCACTAGATAATCGCTTATTAACGATCGGTATATACTTAGATTTCTCTAAGGCCTTCGACACGATAAATCACAATGTCCTCATAGCAAAATTAGAATAGTATGGCATTCGTGGAAAAATATTAAGTTTGTTACAATCTTACGTACGGAATCGTACCCAGTTCGTGTCTATATTTAACTTTAAATCTGATATTTCAAAAATAACAAATGGTGTACCCCAAGGCAGCATTTTAGGCCCCCTCCTTTTTATTCTTTATATTAACGATATTGTGAATGTAAATCGTGATCTTAAAGTTGAGTTCATAATATATGCTGAAGACACTAGCATCTTCTTTTCCGATAAAGATATTTGTACTCTAGTAACTAGATGTAATACCGTTCTTGAACATGTAGCAAAATGGACAAAAAATAATCACCTTAAGTTAAATTTGCAAAAAACCAAAGCCATTTTATTTAAAAGTCAACATGCTACAGTTATGATCCCAAACCCACTGATTTTGAACAATGAAGAAATTGAATTTGTCGACACTATTAAGACTTTGGGTGTTTGGTTTACAAATAGTATGTCTTGGAATAAACATGTTGATAATCTTTCGTCTAAATTGTCAAAAACAGTGGGGTTGCTAACCAAGTTTAAATCGTTGCTACCTCGTTGTGTTAAGCTCCAACTTTACAATGCTTTGGTATATTCCCAACTTAATTATTGTCATCTAGTTTGGGGAAATACAACAAAAACAAATATAAATAAACTACATATTTTACAAAAGAAAGCTGCGCGTGCTATTGCCAATGTTTCATACTATGATCATACTGAACACTTGTTTTCATTGTTTAATATAAAACCAATTTCAAATATTTACAGGTCCCGACTTCTTGTGGCGTACAAGAAGTCTACGCAGTTTAAAAATAAAGGTTTTGAGGAGTTATGTAACCTAGTCCTTTTCACTTCCTCATATCAACTCCGCCCTAAAGAAAAATGGTTTATTTCACCATCACATACATTATATTATAACCACACGCTAAATTACCAATTAACTACTTTGTTAAATGAATTATTTTTAAAAGGTGTTGATATTCATGCAATGACGCTGGCAGAGGTACGAGCATTATTTTAGGGTTGTTTTCTTAGGTACAGCTAAGGCACAAGGATCACTGTACCATTGTATACCACAATGAATGCATTAATTTTTGTTTATTCTCTTGTTTTTGTTTGATCTATGGTCAGTACATTTAAAACAGTGTTCTCTCTTTCAATGTAGCTATTGTGTTCGTTTTTGAAATTGCTTAGGAATCGCCTGCTGTAAAGGGGGCCAGGACCTCCGTCAGGCTGCTGCAGCAGCTTTTTGTCTTGGTCCCCCGTTTCAGTGATGAAACAAAATAAAGATTTATTATTATTATTATTATTATTATAGTGACACAGACAGATGCGCTAGGCTCGCAATGCTGGCTATGACGAGCGCCAGCCTCTGCCAGCGCTCGTGGCTTGGGAGCCAGGAAAATAAAGAGAAAGAAGTTGACTCTAGCCAAAGCTCTGGTTCGGACGCCTGCATTTTTCCTCCGGCGTTTTTAGAACACTGCCGACAAACTAGTGACCCGGACGTGAAACTTTCTGAAATATGAAACTTTCTGGGAATACTCTCTAGATGTTGGTGGATGTAAATATGACATTTTTCAAAATCAACTTTTTTTTTGGCAGAAATTGTTTTTTCTGGGCAGTGTCCCCCCTTAAACCCAAGTCCATAATAAACTCTGACAGACTGCATCACATTTGCCAATGTCTCGAATGCTTCCTGTTGGATGCATCTTCAACTCTTTCCCCTGTCAGTCACCAGAAGGCCGTCATTAGTATGTCATGGGTGCCATACACTCTCTCGATGATAGTCATTAAAGTGACCAAACCAAATAGACCATTTGCTTTATTACCCAAGCATCAAGGAGAATGCAGGGATTGGTGTTCCACGCGCCACACGTGCACGCCTTCCCCGTATAAACGATTCAAAGTAAATAAACAAAATAAAGTGTTGACGAACGCACGTGCAAGGTACAACTTGTCGTAGGATTTTCCTTTAGAAAATTTAGTACTGCTGAGGCCAGCACGTGCGATGCGTGAAACACCAAACCCTGCATTCTCCTTGATGCTTGGGTAATATAGCAAAATTTCTATTTTGGATGGGGTCAGTATTTCAGTAACCGTGCACCTAGTAGTTGCATTTTTAAAGCAACTTGTAACTTAGTTCAGTTACTGCTACAGTGCAATTATAATGATAATGAGAAAACCCGAAAATGCAATCGTTACCGATTATCGTTGTAACTGGACTAGAAATTTATCGTTTCTAGTCTAGAAATCCTATTAACTGATCGTTATGAGCAGTATATCGTTATAATTGGGTTGCACTGTACTTCTGAAAATGATGTTGGCAAATACACTCACTCATCTAGTTTCGACAGCAGTGCTGCATATTGCCACTGCCTCAAACTCTACCGTGAGCCAGGGCTGAGTAAAAAGGATCCGTGCTGTTATCTTGATTTTGTGGTGTAGTTAAAAATGATTTGGAACATGCCGTAAGATACTGCAGAAGAGCCCACCTTGTTCAAGAGCCCACTATTAACATTTCCCAAACTTGGGAGTTCTGCATATTATACGTTAAGCACCCCATTTTACCGGACAAGCACCCATGTCCAGATTTACCCAGTTTTTTCAGTAAAAGTGGGGTGGACGCTCCCCAGGTATTATACCTATACGGTAACTTAATTTACCTGATCTAGCTGTATTTAACCTTTGCATTCAAGTTCAAATAACTGTAACTTGAATACTTTTTAAAAGATGGCTTTAAAAGTTTCGATTTTGTTTGGCCAAGTTGGAAACCGTGCGGAGCAAACCATTTGCTCCTGTTTTGGGCTTTCTCAAGACAGGCTCTGTAGATTGCTGAATATTTGGATGGACTACTTAAATCTATTGTTTTTACATTTGCCATTATAAGTTGCTGCAAGAGTGTAGGGCACATTTTATTGTGCGATACATCCAAGCATCTAAAATCATTCTATGCTACATACATATCATATCTAAAGTTTCTTTAAATGTGCTAGCGTTTATTGTTCTGGTGCATGCCTTTCGTTTGGACAGTCGTGGTTTGGACTGGACTGGACTGGTTTTGTGAGGCCGTGGCATGGTTCCCACGGTGCTCTTTCACTTTGTTTGTTTTCTCGTTACGTCCATTCTCCCTCTTACATAAATAGAGAGGGTCTTCTTGCACTCTTTTAATGATGTGCTACGAGAGTGGGAGAGGAGAGGATTGAGCAGCTGTCAGCAGCGCAACGCACGCGACAATGTAAAACCGAGGCACAGCGACGATGCCGTTTACTCGAAACCGATGACCCCCAAGAGGAAAGATTGGTTCTTCGAAGACGACAGTGTGTGAACCGTTGCGAAGTTGGAATTCTCTTCCTCCGCCGAGGTGGAACCCCTGCACTAAACACTAAAGCATTTCAGCGAGATTCGGCATAGTGACGGCAGCGATTTTGGCATCATTTTGTTTTTTCGTGACGGTTGCTGTGTTAATTTTGGCGTAGCTGAGTTAGGCCAAAATAGCAAATCTCTTTTTGCCGACTGGAAGGTGGAAGAATTCACGAAAGCTTTGTGCCAATACTTCTACTTTTCTCTTGGCTATAGATTTTTATTGTAGTTATGCTTAACCTATTTACTTTAGTATTTGTTGCCCAACCCAGCAACGTCATATTTCAACATGGCAACCAACACACAAAATAATCTACACTGTGAAATGGTATTCAATCACCTGGCATGGAGTGGGGTTTCAAGAGAAAAGACATTACCATTGTCACCATTGCTATAAGAGCCTCCTATTTGATGATTTTAAATAAGAAAAAAACGTGGCATCAAATTCTACTGAGTTTCTCTAAATGGAGTTCATTCAGAAACTCATATACTATGCATCTGCTTGGTACTTTGGAGGCTCCAGCTCCCAAGTTCCAACTTCCTCTTCCTGGGTGCAGGTGTTCTCAAGGTTGTACACTTGTTGGGCAAGTCCGGCAACAATGCGTTCACGCCCGCCCCCAAGCTGGACGACCTTGTGAAGGCCGAGGAAGCCGACTCGGACGTGGACCCGCGCAGGAACTTCAAGAAGGAGCTCGTCCGTCTGGTTGGCAACATGAGCCACCACTCCAGGGCCAACCAGGACCTGGTGGGTGTGGTCGACGTATGCTCTAAAGTAGACAAAATAAGAGGAAAACATTTGCATTAATATTTACTGCCTCAAATGATATCATATCTGCCAATTTTAGACTAAAAGAATTATTGTAAAAAGGTGAAACAGATATAATGTGGTTTACAGTGTGCAAGAAAATGTTAAGAACAGTGCCTAATGTTTCACGAGTGCAGGGACTGTAAGTGAAAAATTAGTAAGGTCATCTTCGGATACAGGAGCCACAATGACTCTTAAATCCACTTCTACCCAAAATTTTGGGGGATTCAAATTTTTAACAAGTTTGGTTGCCAGTTTCTGGCATTCCCCAAGAACTGGTTCTTTTAGGTTCGAGTAAAATACAATTTATTTTTTCTTGAATTAAGATTCATGGGGCAAAGGGTCATCTGCCTGGCTCGGAGCTTGGCCGGTACGGTCCGCTACACATTACAACCATAGAAGTAAACTTCAGAAATTCTTTTAAGCCTTTTAGCAGAATGGATCCCGTTATTCATCTTTTCGGAATACTCCTTTGCAGCTTTTGCACCTTTTCTGGCGACTTCGCATCAGTGCGAGTCATTTTTAATAGTCCCATCTAAAGCAAGCTGCAAAACCCCATCAAAAAGAGTATGGAGTTTTGAATAGACTTTTTTTTATATATCCTGGATTGTATATTTGGAATGGCAGGCGTGTGATATAGCTGTCGAAAATGCACGCTATGTTCAGTTAACAGCCATATTCTAGTTTACGTATACTGGTGGACACCTCAATGAAAGAGGAAAGTTCTGTGCATAGTAATTTATATGCTGCTTGATCTAGTACAATACTTGATTTTTAGAAACAAAGAAAAATGCTTTATTATTTGAAACATGGATGTTTTCATAAAACTCCAAATAACAGACGTAGTGCCATGATTCACTGCAAAAAAAGTGGAATTCATAACACTCTTCAAGGAGTGTCTTTGCTATGGCTCTTTGATGCGAAAGTGAGTGCTGTAATCCTCTTGGCATTTAGACAAGATATATGAAATCTGCTTTAACTTGTGTAGATAAGTGTGGGTGACACCATATGACGCTGCAACGGTCAAAAGTTGTGCTGTACTTGGAAAGGTATAGCTCACCACACTTTACACACCCTTTGACTGTCGCCGCCGAACATGTACATGCGAAACGGCGTGCACTACAAGAGGTCTAGCTATTTGTTATGTCTATGGGGAACTATAAACGATGCATCTGCACATTGCTTCTCTTTGCTGGGGGTATTTTTATTTTTGAAATTAGATGTTCTGCATATATGATACGCATCATATGGTCGCTTCGCGTGTCGACTGCCCCAGCAGTAGTGGCAGTTGCAGTGCCGGCTCTCCCGATTCAGACTTCTAATGCTTCTCAGGATTGAACTCAGGGAATGAGAGCTTACCATCTAATGAAGCAGCTCTGCAAAGTGCCTCCGGTTCAGAATCTGAAACCGCCGGAATGTTGCTGAAGTTTATGCGCTAAAACGAAACCGAATCGATAAAGGTGGCAACATTTCACCTTCAATATTTTGGTTTGAGGTTTTTATACCTGAACAGCTTGCAAACACTGTACATGTTCCCGCTAGATAACTGGGAAAAAACATGCACATTGACCCTTTATACTATTCCTTTGGAAACAAAACCCAACCACTGGGAAACATCTTTTGGAAGGAAAAAAAACTTGACTGTCAAGGGGTTAATAACGGAGTTGTACCAGAAGATAGCCTCTCTATAGAGAGTCAATGCTTGGGCGTCTGTTCTGGTGCTCAGCTCATCATGCAGTTTGGCTGAAATTTGCTTTGTGATAGACTCTAAAATAGTTTGATGCTAATTATAGAATCAATTAATGCATCTTTGTCCTTTGCTTTAGACAAGTTCTTAATGATTTTAGCAGGGCGTTTGTTGTCCCATGCAATCGTGACAAGGGCAAGAAGAAAATACCTTTTCAAAGTCATCCATTTCTTCTGCTTGCAGGTCAGGCAGGTCGAAGGAATTGCTTTACTGCTGGATGTCTGCAATTTGGATGCCAAGAATCCATGTATCCTTAATGTTTCTCTGCGTTTTAGGCAGACTCGTTTTATATTGGCATTTCCTGTGGATCTTGAAATTTTGTACCTCCTTCCTCTATTTCTTATTTCGAGTGAATTGAAAAGAAAGGGATTAATGCGAATGATCGAAAGATGGAGGTGAATTCCACGCAGACGTGAAAGTTTGTGTCCTTTTTCATCGTAGCCAATCTGCACCAAGTGCCCCAGTGATCTGTCCGTGTTTTTAACACTCCGTCTACGCACCTTGCGCTTTACTTGATGTCCTAATTTTCTGCCGCTCGATCCCTGTTCCCATGGTGTGCATGCAATCTGGTGGCCATTGAACACGCCTTGTAGGACCTGAAAAGAGAACGTCCAATTTCACTGGTGTGCAGGCTCATTTTCTTTCCCTTTCCTCGGTGCGCCTTTTTTATCCTATCGATTCCTGCTCACGGTACTTCTGCAGCTGGAGTCACACTGCTCATGCATCGTACAAAGGACACGGTGTTTACTGCGGACACGATTACAGAATTATTTGCAGACGTGTTTCAAACATGATCGAAGCTTCACACATGTGTGCTTCGGACATGTCTGCATACCGTCTTTTGTATGATGTACTAGGAGTGTAACCGTAGCTTAAGTGTTTTGAGTGAGTCCTTTGCAAGTGCCTGTCGGATGTTTAATATTGATGCAGTCTTCTCAAAACGTGTGTGCCTGTTGGCCCTGACTGCCTCTGGTCCAGACATCATTCAGTGGGTAGTTCTGGCCATCAGGAACCTGCTGGAGAACAACCCCAAGAACCAGGAAGTTGTTGCGGGCTTGGTTAACAAGGGAATGGTCACGGACGCCCCTCAATTGCAGGAGCTCGGCATCAGCCTCGATCTGCTTTCGCTGACCAGAGAAGGGATGTCTCCCGGCCGCCCCGAATGACTGCGTCGAGGTCTCCCAATAAACGCCCTTTGCACCTCTTGCCCATTTGGAAACAACGCAGTTTGCGCAGAACTTGTTCGTTTTCACGCCGTTTGTTTGCAACCTTTCTGCCGCGGTGCTTGGGTTGGGTGGTCAACTGTTGTTTTTCAGAAATTCGAAATGCCCCACAAAAACAAAAACTCCGACTGAAAAAAAAAAAAAGAAGATAGTTTTTTGGTTGCGGTTACGGGAAGCACAAGTACGAAATTGGTTTTGTTCCAGATTTTGGTGCGACCTGGGCACCAGTTCTTTTATAAATTTCATTTCTGGCTGGTTGCTCAAAGCCTATGTAAGTTTCACTGAGTAAGAGGTCTAAATGTGCATATTGTCTGAGGTAGTAAACGAGGCATTCCACTCAGTGAATGCACTGCGAGTTGGTGGATCTAAATAAATTGGAAAAATCGGTCTTGGACACTGCAGCAGTTAAATTTTTTCTAAAGAAGCGGGTAGTATGTTTGTTTTGTGAAAATATGTAAGGTAGAACCTGCCTTAGTCAAAAGCTGCAAAGAAAAGCCAGAAGATATAAAGAGAAAAAGAAAAAAGTGTGCCACATTGGATATTTTTGTTGAACAACTGAGGACGAGGAAAGACAATAATTTTGTGTTATGTTACTTCTTGAGTCAAGAGGACCATGGCAACCTCTTTTATTTCATCTCTTAGGAATTCATTTCACTGGTGCCTTTTGATTAATGTGACCATTTTTAAGTTGTTTTCATACTACAAATAACCATCAAGCCTTTGGGCTGTCATACCTCACTTGACCCATATTTTTAGATTATTTAAAACAAATTAAAGTCAATTGCTGTGCTAGTTGGTTAAATATCCTATTCTCACTTTCATATTCTTGTCCTCTGGCGCTATTGTATGTATGTATGATATTTAAAACAAGTTCCCTTCATTTTGTCAGCACGGTACAGTGTTTGGAAATGAAATGTAGGGTTATGCAATTTTCGAAATTGAATAATTCAGGATAATGTTTCCTTTTCGATTTAATTTAGAGCACGATTCAAACATTTACATTTGAATATTCGAAGTTTACGGATAGTGTCTTTAAATTCCCAATTTCCTGTGTCAAGCTTCACCGCTTCGCAGCGGCGTGCACAGAGTAACAACTTGTGTGAGAGAGTATGTCGGTCGGTTAGCTTGATCAGCCCAGAAAAGTTAGCTCACTCTTGTCTGTCAACCTTCTTTAGTTGTGATTGTTAAGTTGGAATTATAGTTTGATCCTTAATTTTAAAATTTAGTGCCGAAAAAATAACGAAACAAATATTTGAGGGCGCCGTTTAAAGGGATGGTGAACCGAAATTTGGATTTCAGAAAACAATGCAGCAGCTGTAGGTGGAACGCTACAATCCCTGCAACCCTACTCGTAAGGCGATATCTCGAATGGACGGCCGTATTTGGAAAAAAAGGTCGAGATTGAACGAGGCCGACGAGGCGCGTGACGTCAAGATATCTCGTTTCCTCTCTTCGCTTCGCCCCCTCAAGGCGGCGAGGCGGAGAAGACGCGAGGCCGTTCCCTCTCGGAGAAACTGCATGTAGGCACCCTAGGAGAAACAAGACGTGAACATATCTGACAAATGCGCTTTTTTTTTTCTTTTTTTTTAAACACGGGCATCCGTTCAAGATATCGCTGTATGAGTGATGTTTTGGTGTTTGATCCCGTTGCACGCTTTTGCCGCCGTGTTTTGTGGAATCCAGATTTCGGTTCAGCATCCCTTTAAAGCGCATGCTCAGAACGAGCTCACATTAATAGGCTGCTAAGACCGACAGTCTTGATGGTGTGGAATGCATGTTGCCAAGGGACTGCGGAAGCACGCTCGACCTCCGCGCACACAGCTATGGCCGCCAGTGAATACTCCCTATATGCTAAAAGTATCGCATCTGTCTCAGATTTTTTACTTCAAGTTTTGCCGGAGAAGCGACCACTCTTGCTGGAGACATCACGCGGCGGTTTACTGCGTATGCGCGGTCGTGCGTCTCCCGGGTCTCTCGGAAACGCACGCGCCCTGGTCGTTGGTTATGCCGTCTGCATGTACGCGACCGCTTTGAAACAGTGCTTGCGTTATAAAGAAAGAATGCAATATATCTTAGTGGCATTTGCAATGTCAGAAGGTTCAAGAAGCTTGTCAGACTTCAGTGTAAGGTCTACATTTCGGGAACTCGGAGTCCCGCCCCAGGGCGGTTCCAACCAACCCGCAAAACGATTGAAAACGGTTTCCAGAGAAATCCGGGAGGTAGGAGTGACGTCAGCGGCCACGTGAACGTGACGTTTTGCGCGTCCAAAGTTGAATATATGGAACTTTTTCCGGACCCGGAGAGCCCCTCGGTCACTCAGGGGAAGGGGTCCACCCTCGTCTTTTCGCGTAATGGGACGCATAAGGCTTTTCGCCTTAAAGGGACACTGACACTCCCCAATTTTTTTTAGGCGATTTATTATGTTGTCGGAAGACTACCCAATTAATGTTTTGCAACAGAGTCATGTATATTTTTAATAAAGCAAAAAAACGCAACTGCTTGAAACTGAAACCCAAACCTGCGCACGGAGGTTGGAAGTGTGGAGAGGATAAAGTGAGTGACGGAAGTCGGGTAACTACACCCGACCGCGCGCTCTTTTTTTTCTCCAAAATAATAATAATTATTATTATTTTTTTTTCTTTTTTTTTCTTTTTTTTTTTTGCGCGCAGCAGACGAGATGTATGGCTACGAACAGTTTCGAGTGCGATTCCTTTGCAGTTATGTTTGCTCCGCTCGCTGTTCTGTGCTTCAAGATGAATTGTTTCGTACATTCAAGAGTTGGGGATGAGTAGTGAGTGCCCGAGATGAATTTCCGTGATCGGCTCCGATAAGAATACCCCTAAGGTGTTGCGTGAAAAGCTGCCTCACATGTCCTGCGTCCGAAAAAAAAAACGGCATTGTGCGGCAGAGTCTGCACATGTTTCCGAAAGATCAAGAGGATCGGGACCAATGGCTGAGTTCAATTTCTGCAGAACATTTACGGGCAGCTCGGAAAGCGGACGCCACCCGGTTTACATGTTCCTTGCATTTTGTGGGAAGTGATTACGTTGAGTTGGCAGGTGTCAAAAAGAAAATCCCATTCCATTTAGTTCAGCGACGTTTCGTCCACAACATTTTTTTTTTCAGTGATAATTGTAACAAAAAGAATTTAAATATCAGAAAATGTTGAAAAAAAAAACTTTCAGCCCTTCCACTCTGGTGGAGAAGGAAAACCGGCGAAGCTGTACTACGGTCAGACGACCTCAAGGACGACTTCTTGGACGACCTCAAAGACGACTTCTTGGACGACCTCAAAGACGACTTCTTGGACGACCTCAAGGACGATGCCTCAGAACAACGTCTAGGACGACCTCAAGGACGATGTCTAGGGCGACTTCTAAGACGACCTCGGGGTTGACCCCTAGAGGACGACCTGAGGAACGACATCTAGGCGACCTCAAGGACGACTTCTTGGACGACCTCAAAGACGACTTGGACGACCTCAAGGACGATGCCTCAGAACAACGTCTAGGACGACCTCAAGGACGATGTCTAGGGCGACTTCTAAGACGACCTCGGGGTCGACCCCTAGAGGACGACCTGAGGAACGACATCTAGGCGACCTCAAGGACGACTTCTTGGACGACCTCAAAGACGACTTCTTGGACGACCTCAAGGACGATGCCTCAGAACAACGTCTAGGACGACCCCAAGGACGATGTCTAGGGCGACTTCTAAGACGACCTCGGGGTTGACCCCTAGAGGACGACCTGAGGAACGACATCTAGGCGACCTCAAGGACGACTTCTTGGACGACCTCAAAGACGACTTCTTGGACGACCTCAAGGACGATGCCTCAGAACAACGTCTAGGACGACCTCAAGGACGATGTCTGGGGCTTCTAAGACGACCTCGGGGTCGACCCCTAGAGGACGACCTGAGGAACGACATCTAGGCGACCTCAAGGACGACTTCTTGGACGACCTCAAAGACGACTTCTTGGACGACCTCAAGGACGATGCCTCAGAACAACGTCTAGGACGACCTCAAGGACGATGTCTAGGGCGACTTCTAAGACGACCTCGGGGTCGACCCCTAGAGGACGACCTGAGGAACGACATCTAGGCGACCTCAAGGACGACTTCTTGGACGACCTCAAGGACGACTTCTTGGACGACCTCAAAGACGACTTCTTGGACGACCTCAAGGACGATGCCTCAGAACAACGTCTAGGACGACCTCAAGGACGATGTCTAGGGCGACTTCTAAGACGACCTCGGGGTCGACCCCTAGAGGACGACCTGAGGAACGACATCTAGGCGACCTCAAGGAGGACTTCTTGGACGACCTCAAAGACGACTTCTTGGACGACCTCAAGGACGATGCCTCAGAACAACATCTAGGACGACCTCAAGGACGATGTCTAGGGCGACTTCTAAGACGACCTCAGGGTCGACCCCTAGAGGACGACCTGAGGAACGACATCTAGGCGACCTCAAGGACGACTTCTTGGACGACCTCAAAGACGACTTTTTGGACGACCTCAAAGACGACTTCTTGAACGACCTCAAGGACGATGCCTCAGAACAACGTCTAGGACGACCTCAAGGACGATGTCTAGGGCGACTTCTAAGACGACCTCGGGGTTGACTCCTAGAGGACGACCTGAGGAACGACATCTAGGCGACCTCAAGGACGACTTCTTGGACGACCTCAAAGACGACTTCTTGGACGACCTCAAGGACGATGCCTCAGAACAACGTCTAGGACGACCTCAAGGACGATGTCTAGGGCGACTTCTAAGACGACCTCGGGGTCGACCCCTAGAGGACGACCTGAGGAACGACATCTAGGCGACCTCAAGGACGACTTCTTGGACGACCTCAAAGACGACTTCTTGGACGACCTCAAGGACGATGCCTCAGAACAACGTCTAGGACGACCTCAAGGACGATGTCTAGGGCGACTTCTAAGACGACCTCGGGGTCGACCCCTAGAGGACGACCTGAGGAACGACATC